TCCCAGGTGTGGACTGGTGAGGTGGCTCAGTGGGCACAGGTGCTTGTGGCTGCATGATGACCTGAGTTCTGTTCCTGGAGTCCACCCAGCAGGAGCAGAAAACAGACTGTCACACGTTACCCTCTGTCCCCCACACAAAATGTATGTAATTTTAGAAAATTTAAACCAGGGAGACAGCATCCTGGGAAAAGTCATCAGAGATTGACCGTTGACCTCCACGTGGGCACCAGCACACACACTCACACACACACACACACACACACACACACACACACTCACACGAGTTAGGAAGAATGTATGACAGCTGTACATCCCTTCTACCTGAGTCACTCACTGACACCTGAGTACTCTAAGGGAATAAGCTCACGTTTGGGTGCTTTGGACACTTCCGACATGAACTAGCTAAGTGGGAAGCTAAGGGGAAACCAGCCACGCTGTGTAAGCGCTCCGCAGATCAGGGCTTCTGGGCTAGCGTGTGGACACTCTTGGCCCACAATCCTTTGCTACCAGGGCCATTCTGGAAGATGTTTCCAGCATCCCGGCCTAGAAGCCAGTAGCGTCCACCGGCACTGTGTAACGATCAAAAGATGTCTCCTGGCATTGCTCTCGAGCGGCCTCACCCCTTATAGAGAACACCAGGGAACCCATTACAAAGACAAACTCATGGGCCTGGTGCATCCAGTCAGTGGCTCACTCTGTCTGGAGGTCCTTCCCTCCGTCCCTCCTTTCTCATAATACCGCTTCAATGGGACCTCTGACGGGAAGGTTTCCATCTCACTGAAAAAATGCCTGCTCCCCTTGAGGCGCCTTGGCACTTAGCTAACATAGCTGACCTCTGACCTACGCTAGGCAGAGCCCTTCGGCATTGCATTGGCAGCACACCTCGAGTCTGGTCAGAGGCCTAGAAACCAGCCTTGTACTGTAGCCCTGAGCAGAGGATGCTGGGAAGAGCAGGCGCTTGGGCACCCAGGGCGTCTGACTGACAAGGACAAAACCTTCTGAGACTAAAAAGCCAAACCACCAACTACAAACTTCTGCCCAGTCAGTTCTTACATGGAGCTCAAAAGAAAAAAAAAAATTGTTTTAACTAAACCAATCTTCCATCGCAAATTTATCCAATGACAGGGCAATCTCAGCAAACCTAAAACCATGTTCTTAAACCGCAATCCAGAAGCAGAACATGCAGAATCCCCTTAGGGAAGTTAAAATCACACAGCCCTCATAAAAAAAAGGTTCAGATTCCGCAGCTTGTGACTTAGGCTTACGAACAGGGAATTACGGGAATCATTGGGGCCCTGGGTTCTTTCAGCAAAATTAGAAATTCTAAAACATTTGTATAACAGGAAACCACACACACACAAAATTATTTGGTAAGATGAGGAAATCTCTCATCCCCAGTCAGACAACCTCAGCACCCTAAGACAGAGTTGGAAGTTTCAGACAGACAGCTCGGGGCTGAGAGAGGGCTGAGAGAGGGTTGGCCCTCAGGAGAATCCGCTGCTCTTCCACAGGACCTGAGTTCACTTCCCGTGACAGGCAGCTCACCATCACCTATAACTCAGGCTCCAGGGATCCGATGCCATTACATACATGACACACACGCACCAAGACACATGTATGTAAATAAAAAATAAAGAAATCTTTAAAAACAAAAGGACGTGAAGCTCCTCAGGCCATCCGTCCTTGAATCAAGGGTGGGAGGGATACACACTGTGGCGTGGTACTTGCTGCCACAGCTCTGACCTAAGAGAGCATTTAGTTCTGCCCTGAACCCCTGAGGCATGCCTAAGTGGGAACACACAGCTGATTCTGCAGAAAGGGCTGGGGTAGGTGGGGATATCTTAAAACACAGTCTTGTCAAATTAGAATTTTCAGAGTCAAGAAAACTAGAGATTTTGCTCTTAGGTGTTTAAAAAAAAAAGTAAAACGAGTCAAATGGTCAAAGTGATATTAGAATACACAGAGAGAGGGGGGAGAGGGAGGGAAGAGGGAGAGAGAGGGAGAGGATGAGGGAGGGAGGGAGGGAGGGAGGGAGGGAGAGAGAGAGAGAGAGAGAGGTCTCCCTGAGGTAAGCTGAAGCCTTGCTCTCTCCCTAGCAGGAGGTACCCATGGGGGGATCTATCCACAGCTCTTGGGACTCAAACATTTCCCAGTGGAATTACCTGGCACAGGCTTAACTTGTTTCCTGGTGTATTTAACTTCTTAGATTTGCTCAAATATTGATATAAGCTCTTTCACAGCTTCCTCCACGTGCCTGCTCTTGTGGTTTAGAATATCAGCCCATTCTTTTGTGTATGTCTATTAAACAGACAAATCACCATTAATGTTCAGACACCTGAAAGACACCGTGGAGTTATTATGACTTTAATCTCTACAGCTATGATTAATTCCACCTGAAAGTCACTAGAGGGACTCAGTAGTAGGGCACCTGCCTAGCTTGGTCCTGGGGTCTATCCCCAGAACTGCAAGAAGAGATAGACAGGTATAGTCTTATGAGATAGATATGGTCTTATTGCTGCGATAAAAACACTGACCCAAACCAACCTGGGGGCATGTATTGGCTTACATTTCCCACCACGATCCATCGCTGAGGGAGTCAGGGCAGGAACTGGAGGCAAGAATTGAAGCTAAGATCAGGAGGAGAGGCTGCTTGTTGGCTTGTTTCCCATGGTTTGTTCAGCTTGCTTTCTTAAAGAACCCAGGGCATCACCCACAGTGTGCTTTGTCCTTCCACATCAATCATGAATCAAGAAAATGCCCCTATAGGCACGCACATAGGCTAATCTGATGGAGGCAATTACTCAGTTAAGATGCCCTCTTTCCAGATATGGCTAACCTTGTGACGAATTAACAAAAACTAACCAGCACAATTATTTACCCCTTGTCAGCTTTGACACACAACCACACCTTCTGTAAGCCATAACCTTTCCTTTCTTGTTTGTTCCCAAGGTCTCATGTCGTCACAATATAAAACACAGTTCAGCTTTTAAAAGTCCCACACTCTTTTTAAAATTCCAACAACTTTTTAGATCTTACTCTGGGATGACTGGACGCCACTCCCACTGAAGGAAAGTGGCAATGATCAGACACAGTGGCAATATGGTTGGGTATGATGGCCAGATATGGAAGCTGGGAAGGAGCCAGGCCACAGTGTGAAGCTAAGTTTAAAGGCCTGACCTAAGAAACAGCTGGGGTACAGGAAGTGATCCAAGAAATTCTGGCAAAGCCTAGCTTGGCTTTAAGACCAAACGGACTTGGGAAAGGGAGTGTGGTAAGGGGAGACACCCCAGGTTCCTCAGTGGCTTAACAGAAAACATGTGTAACCAAACCATAAGAAAAACGGTAGCTGGTCATGGCAGCCCAGGTCCTTAATCCCAGGTGGTCAAGAGGCAGGTGAATCTCTGTGAGTTCAAGGCCAGCCTGGTCTAAACAGGGAGTTCCAGGCCAGCCAGAGCTACATAGTAAGACTCAGTCAGAAGACAGGGAAGAGGAGGGGAGGGGAGGCACGAAGGGAGGTTGATGGATGACTGAGAGGGAGGAGCCACGGAACACTGACAGGGTCCCAAGGGCTCCAGCATTAGTCCAAGGCCTTCAGTTTAAAGTCATAGCTAGGTATGGCCCTGGACTGATCAGCTAGAGTCACATTAAGTCTTTGATTAAGTCCACAAAAACTAGGAGGAAGAAGAAGGAAGGGGAAGAGGAAAAAGAGAAAGGAGGAAGAAGAGAAAAAAACGACTTAGGTGTGCACACGTTTAGACTGTGAATTTATGTGTCAGGCCAGTGAGTCAACACTTTGCTATAATGAATGCGTACCTCGTTGAGGGTCAGCATATCTTCTACTCTTGTAGCCCCACTGTCCGACAAGGAGATCAGCAATGTCTTGGCTATCTCCTTCAGAACTGTGTCAATATGCATTTCACACAGGTCATTGATCTACCCGCAAGAAGACAGGCAAAAAATAAAAAATAAGAAACAGCTCTCTTTCCCTCTAGCATAAACCTTGTTTACCCAAAATGCACTGCAGGTATAAATCCATTTACAGAACTCAATCTAGACATTTGCAACCTGGGTCAAGCATAATTTAGTGAGCAACACGTTCAGGAAAATGTGTGCAAAGAAACCGTGACCTGGGTCTACAGCGGTGTGGGCCAGAGTACCGCTAGTAGGCTGCCTCCCTTTGTTCCCCATCTTGCACAAATAAGCCGTTCATGCCCCTGCTTTCCACATAAAGACACCAAGGCTCAGAGAAGGGCAGTAAACAGAAGGTCACGCAGCTAATAAAGAACAGAGGATCTTGGCCATGTGTGGCTGGCTCCAAAGCCTCTGAGTTTGCGACACCATGATACCACACAGAGAGGTGGGCATGTTTTATACAGCATACACCTTAGAAATCAACAGGCCACCGCCTGTTAGACTACTGTGTCATTTGGCCAATGTCAGACACATGTAAATGTTAAACTATAGGCAGGATACTCTGCCATCTTCCTATGCTCATGTGTATGTGTGTGTATGTTTGTGTGTGCACACACGTGTCTGTGTGTCTGCAAAAAGGCCAGATATTGATGTCAGGTGTCTTCCTCCATTTCACACCACTTTGATTACTGAAGCAAGATCTCTCTGAGTGTGCCAAATTGGCTATCCAGCTTGTCCTTAGGGCTCCATCTCTGCCACCCAAGTGCTGGAATTGGAGGTGGGCCACCACACTTGCTCGCCTTCTTATGTGGGAGCTGGGGATTTGAACTCAATGTCCTCATGTTTGCACAGCAAGCATTTTATCCCTCCCTGAGCCGTCACTCCGGCTTCCAAGCATCCTAGCTTAAACTACAGTGTGCAGGTGAAGCTTCACTTCAGCCTGTTGAGGGCAAGGGAAACTCAGGGATAAACACAAGATAACCCCAAGGAAAATGACTCAAATAGTAAAGCAGAAAACATAACTCTTTTATCTAATGGATGTTCTTATGGTTTAAAAAAAAAACTCATACCCTTTTCTAGGATGTACTGCATTTTTAGTTACATGCATGTGTTTCTGCATGGGAATCTGCATGCAAATGCAGGAGGCCACAGAGGTCAGAGGTGGCAGGTCTCTGTGAAGATAAAGTTTCAGGCGGTTGTCAGCAGCCAGGCACAGGTCCTGGGGATCAAACCTCACGCAGGTCTGCTGCAGAGTGGGACTCACTCTTAACCACTGAGCCACCTCTCTAGCCCAAACCATACCTCCGGGTTTGATTAAAAAGGGGCCCCAGGTGTGATTAAACCGGTGCTTATATCCCGAGTGTTAGCGTGTGTCTCTGGAAGACGACTGCTTTTACCTTCTTTAGAAGCTGGTTGAACATATCCAAGACGGACTCCACTTCCTGGAAGAAACTCTCCAGCATCAATGATGACCATGTTAGGATGGTGAGCCCCTGCCTCAGCACAGATTCCACCTAGGAAGAGCAAAAAGGTTCTGTCTCCCATTGCTCAAGGGTGTCTCTTCCAGGGGAGCCTCTTTTGCTACTTGGAAATACTGGGTGATGTATTTCCTTAATTAAATTCCCCCACCATTACACCTAATAGAGATGCCTTTTGCTTTCAATCATCTTCGGAGGTCCGGGAAGCAGCCATAAATCCCCACAGAGCACTCACAGCTCACAGTTACTCGTTTTCCAAAGGTAACAAAACCTAGATGAGAAATCATCCCATGGGTAGAGATGGACGGAGAGAGGGAGGGAAGGTAAGAGAGAGAGCGAGAGCGAGAGCGAGAGCGAGAGCGAGAGCGAGAGCGAGAGAGAGAGAGAGAGAGAGAGAGCTGTAAAGTTGAAATGAGAAAGACGGATGGTCTAGGCAAGGAGATGTGCTCTGAGATCCATAATCTATAGACCAGGAATCTAATTTTAAATCAGAGAAATCAATATGAGCCGCCAGCGTCACCAACCTTTTTCATTTTCGGGGTCATGAGATTGACAAACACAGAAGGCACTTCCTGGCATAAATCATCGTAATATTGCAGGAGACCCTGTACAAAGGCAAATCGGCAGAGCTTACTTTAATTCATAGTGAGGCAATGACCACATTTTGGCTCATACCGGGAAAGGCTTCGTTGCACCTGACTTTTCCCCACGGGCCTGCCAGTATGAGACCCGCTTGTGTGAACTTGCACCAGCCGGCTGTACTCTCTCACGAGCTGTCAATCACAAGTCCATCCTCTCTCAGCGCAGATGTGCCCCTGTCACGCCTTAGACTCTCGTTTTTCTCACATCCGCTGCTTTTCTCTCTTCATTTGGTGAAACTGGATAACCATCGTCTCATGGTATTGTTACTATACATTTTTATCTTTTTGTCCTTTTTATTATTTGTTTGTTTAAGACAGGGTCTCAAGTAGCCTAAGCTGGCCTTGAACTCCTGACCCTCCTGTTTCCACCTCCCAGGTGCTGGACTACAGGCATGCTACCAGCCATGGCTCCTAATCTTTTGACTTAGTAAAATATATTCACACTACTGGGGCAGGAGACATGGCTTGTAGTTAAACAAGCTTGCTACTCAAGCTAAGGACTAGAGTTTGCATTCTAGTGCCCAAGTTGGTTGGCTCACAAATACCTGTAACACCAGGTCCAAGGGTTCCAACACCCTCTTCTGGCCTCTTTGGACCCCCATGTTCACAAGTGGCACATACAACACACACACACACACATACACATTTTTATACACACACTCACACACCTTTTAAAAATGCTCACTTCTAAAGTCATAATTGATTCTTAATATTTTCTTTTTTTAAAGATTTAATTTTGACTTTATGTGTATAGGCGTTTTTTGCTTGCATTACGACTGTAAGCCATGTGCATGCAGTGCCCAGAGAGGCCAGAAGAGGGTGCTGGGTCCCAAGACTGGATACAGATGGTTGCTGCTGCAAGAGCAAGTGCTCTTAACTGCAGAGTCATCGCTCCAGCCCCTGCTGCTTAAATCTAAATAGATCCAACAGCTCCACACAACCAGAAGAGCCGAGCTGTAACAGTTCTAGAGACCCACGGTGACCAGTTTGGGCAGGTCTGTAACTTACTGCAGGGCGATGTGGAATGAAGCTGTTTGACTGTTTTTTTAGCAACTTCAGTTTTAATGAATGGTTTCAGAGTTCTTGATTCCCTTAAGCCGGGACACTCAGCAAGCAACTTTGGCTTTCATGATGTCACCCAACGCTAATGAGATCCCATGAGTTAAAAATGGTGGCAGTCTCCTGGTGCCCAAAGCACTTGATGCCAAGCTCACCGTCACCATGATGCCAATGTCCCTCTGGGGTAGACAGTTCTTTAACAATTAGATCCTGGTTTGCTAAGATCCGAAACTCTCTGAAGAAGAGATATAAATCTCGGTGGCACTGGATTAAGACATAGAATTCTCAAACATGACAATGAAAATACCAGAAACAAACTTTAAAAGTAGATTACTGAATGTCCTCAAGATGTAAAATGCTTTTATTTCAAAGTACATCGCTGGCCAGGCATGGTGGCACACACCCTTGATCCCAGCGCTTGGCATCACAGAGATCCGCCTGCCTCTGCCTCCCGAGTGCTGGGATTAAAGGCGTGCGCCACCACTGCCCGGCTTAAAGATACATCTTAACCACCTTTTAATTTGCTATAATTTGTAGCAGCATAAAAGTTTGAAATATTCTCTGATACTCTTTTTATTTCCTTCCAAAAGAGTCAACTTGTCCTTTTGCCCAAACATGAACTTTAATTAAACCAAAAGATTTGAATGTAAAGACACATTGAAAAGCGCAGATTCTCTGTCATCTTCCCTGTGAGATCTAGGAAGAGTCCTATATTGATTTATTATGTTATTGATGAAAGGAAGTTAATCCTCTCTGTGCCCAAGCAAATAGAATCCTTTTTTCTCATTTAATCATCAGTGGTTCCATTAATTTCTATGTATTCATCTTATAATCCATATTTATTCAGTTCTTTATTCTTGGATTTGTATTTGGTCTTTTTTATGACTAATGCTGATTAAAAAATTTATCTTTATATTTATATATCTTCCTGCTTCCCCCAAAATATTTGCCCACAGATTTCCTAGCTTGCCATTTTCACTTGCTTTTCAAAGAAACCTGACGTTACCTGCTCTGTTTCACATGGCTCTGAAGCCAGGCACTAAATTTCAATAGAATTTTTATATACTTATTATTAGTCATGTGTACAGATGTGTCTGTGTACGCACATGTGCACACAAGTGCAGGTGCCTGTGGCCACCAGCAGAGGGTGTCTGATGACCTGGAGCTGGAGGTGCAGGCAGTTTTGAGTCACCCAATGTGGTCCTCTGTGAGGACAGGATGCACTGAACACCCGGGCAGCTTTCCCTGCCCAGTGGTTCTCAATCCTCCTAACGCTGCAACCCTTTAATATAGCTCCTTATGCTGTGGTGACCTCCCCCCCAATCATGAAATTATTTTTGTTGCTACTTCATAACTGCAATTTTGCTACTGTTATGAATCTTAATGTAAATATCTGGTACATAGGCTATCTGTTATGTGACCCCCCAAAGGGATCATGATCCACAGGTTGAGAATCACTGTCAGCCTCTTGAATGTACTTAACTCTCTCTCATGCTGCTTTTGACTGTGACTTTGTTTTTGTTTTGTTTTGTTTGTTTGTTTGAGATGATGTCTTACTATTTGCTCTGGCTGTCCTGAAACTCATGTAGACCAAGCTGGCCTCAAATTCACAGAGATTCTCCTGCCTCTGCCTCCCAAACGCTGGGGCTAAGACATGCGCCACCACACCTGGCTCATATTTTTAAATTTTACATTACTCATCAGTGAACTTAAATTATAATGCTTCATTTATCCTAAAATGTTGGAGAATCCTTTCCATTTGTGTTATTTTATAGCCACTCCTGACTCATAACTTATATTTATTAGCACCCAGTATTAAATATATTAAACTTAATATTCTTGCTCCATAAAATTATAATTAAAGCGTTGTTAAACCTGATGCTTCATCACTTAGGACCTGGAAGTCCAAGTGAGCTCTGGAACTCTCTTTCTCTTTTCCGACTCCCATCTTTATGTTGTTTGAAAGCTGCCATAAAGCTGGTATAAAGCTGGTATTTTACTCCATAGGAGACGGGGCTGCAGAGATGGCTCAGTGGTTCAGGGCACTCACTGCTCTTGCAGAGGATCCAGATTCTGATCCAGTACCCCTCATAAGTGACTTGCAAATGAAACCCTAGCTCCAAGGGATCTAACATCTCCTTGTGGCCTCTATGGGTGCCTGTGTGCACGCAAGCATGCTCGTGTGTGTGTGTGTGTGTGTGTGTGTGTGCATCACAACAAACAACCCAACAAATAAATACGCAAACAAATGTTTTGTTTGGCTGGTTGGATTTAGCTTTTTTGAGACAGGGTCTCAGACTACGTATCTCTGGCTGTCCTGGAACTCAATTTGTAGACCAGGCTGGCCTCAAATTCAACAGAGATCCTTCTGCCCCTGCCTCCCAAGTGCTGGGATTAAAGGCGTGCGCCACCACCTCCTGGGTCTGTAAATCTTTCGGAAATGAAAATAACAGCCTGCTAGGATACATTTTTCTTGCACCAAAAAACTCCTTCAAAAGTAACCAGAATGGGCTGGACAAAAAGTGCAAGTCACACCAGTATGAGGACCCGAGTTTGGATTCCCGGCAGGCACATTTAAAAGAAAAAAATGCTTGTGTGGCCATGTTCATCTGTAACCCAGTGCCGAGGAGCAGAGACAGGTGAGTCCCCAGAGCTCACTGGCCAGCCAGTCTAGCCAGTCCGTGGAAGTTGAGTCCAGAGGTAAGGCGGAAAGCTAAAGAGGACACTGGGGGTGAATCTCTGGTCTCCCCACCTGTACCCACATTCACACATACACACATACACACACTCACAAACATGTACATACAAAAAGGCAATAAGAAATCATCAAAAGACGCTGTTCGTCTTACCTGCAGATACAGTTTGTCTGCCTTCAGCTTGCTTTCCAGTTTCAGCAGCCTCTTCGCTTGTTCTGGAACATCCAGCTTCATCTTTATCATGCACTTTGTTTCCCGCACAACTTCCAAAATTTTAGGGTCAAAATTAACCAGCAACTTCCCCGTTTCCGGATGTCGCACAAACAGCGTGGCTTGCAAAGCTGCAAGTGAACCGATACTGGCATTGATTTCCCTTCACCCCCTTCTGCTTCACCACGGAAAGGCAGAGTAATAGTCCTGGGTCCTACAGCGCTAAGGCAGAGTCTCCCACACAGACCATCAAGACTCGGAGAAATGAAGACCCGGTACCTACAAAGCCATCAACTCAGATCCAGAGAGAGAAAGCGGGATGGGTGAGTGACAGGCTGTAGGGCATGAACGGCTATACTTTGAGTGGGTTTTAGGGTGTAGCTGTGGCTTATTTTTATGGATTGTAACTTAACCTTGTTCTCCCTTCCTGTTGCTGTGATAAAATGCACTGACCAAACTAACGTCGAGGAAGAAAGGACTGACTTTCCACTCCAGCTCCCAATCCATCAAACCAAACAGGAAGCCTGCTTGCTATCCCACACAGCATTGGCTCCCACCCAGGAACTCACTTCACAGCCAAAAAAACACACACACAGAGACACAAACAAGTTTTAAAATGCAGAAAAATGTAAATAGATGCTTTTATTATGAACTGATATTCTTTTGGGGCCTTAGATTACTTATTTATTTTTATTTTGTGTGTGTGGGTATTTTGCATGCATGTGTGTTGTTACAGGGCATGGAAGAAGTGCCCAGGGAGGCCAGAAGAGGGTGTCTGGAACTAGAGTTACAGATGACTGCTGTGTGCATGCTGAGACCTGAACTTGAGTCCTCTGTAAGAGCAGCCAGCGCTCTTAACCACTGTGCCATCTCTCCGGCCCCTGAGATTATTCGTTAATGTAACATGGATTACTTCTAGAGGCATAATAATGAAAAATAATTACTTCTACAGGCTTATATGTATTCACTCAAATTACGTCTTATTTCAACAAACTTTATTAACACAGAATTTCATTATAATCACAGTCTCTACCAAGTCTCATGTGATCTGGTAGGATGCCACACCATTAAACTTCTAGGAAAATAAAGCATTCCCTAAAACCCTCTGAAGTTGGCTGGCGCTGGCTTTTATTCATTAGATAAAATTAGTCTGAGAGAGGTTCCCTTTAAAAGATGATTTTAATTTATTTTTAAATCTGTTATTGGAAGAAGGAGACCCAGAGGACAATTTGTGGAGTCAGTTTTCTCCTTCTATGTTTTTTTTCTTTTTTCTTTTAAATTTATTTATTATGTATATAGTGTTCTGGGCACCAGATGTCACCACCAGATGGGTGTGAGCCATCATGTGGTTGCTGGGAATTGAACTCAGGACCTCTGAACAGCAGTCAGTTCTCTTAACCTCTGAGCCATCTCTCTATCCCTCTCCTTCTATTTTTCAGTGAGTGCCAGGGATTGAACTAAGGTCTCCAGGCTTGTGTAGCTCCTTTACACTAGCTGAGCCATCTTGCCAGCCCTTAGCAAGTTTCTCAAAGGAGTCAGTTTTCCTGAGGCTCTCAGCTAAGAATTGTATCCAACATATTTGGAATCCTCTCAGAATGGGGTTAGAAATCCCATGTCCACTCAGATAAATCCCAGAACAAAACTCATTTAATAAAATCTGTCCACCTTAAGGCTGTACTGAATTTGCACAACAGAACAAAAGAATCAACAGCACCAGTAAAATAAATCCGTAAGGACAGTCAGGAGGGGCCGCTCCAGGCCAGGGTGACCACCTGAGAACTGATGGATCCCTATCTGAGAAGCTCTGTGCAGCATCCATCAGAAGGAGGGCCAGGCATCACCCTGAGCACAGGTAAGTACGGCCAAGCCATACAAGGGGAAACCATCCAGAGCCGTTCATTCCCCATAGCCTGGGCTAGGATGGAAAACTTCGACTTTAAACTGTTGGCTTTGCTTGGGAGCAGTTCTGGTCATTAACCCATTGCAATGAGTCTGTGGTGCTTTCTAGGGTCAAATGATGTCCTTGAGAGCAATGAACATTCCAGAAAACTTGACCTCTACCTGCTGAGCCAGGGACTTTCACTAGTAGGGAGCACACCAATTAGATTATACTCCCTGCAGGGAGCCCTAGGGGTCTGCCTGATCCTACCACCCCCCACCACCCCTCCACCACCCCTGGCTTTTTCACATGAGTTCTGAAGACTAAACTCAGGCATTTACCAACTGAGCCATCTTCCCAGCCCTAAACCTAAACTTTAACGAGCTTGTTTGTAAAGGGAATGCCAACCATCAACAGAACCGTGAATTCATCTGAAACCCAAGCCCCACTTGTGAGCCTTAGACGCACCGTACTGCAGCTGCGAAATCTCTTTGACCCAGGCTGTTTGGTAGACCACCTCGAATTCCACCAGCACGTATGAGATCTTGTTATACTGGCGGATGACGGCTTTACCCTCTGCTCTTGACAAGATTTCTGAGTTTTTCTGGGGGGTAGGGAGAGAAAATTATGTTTAAAAAAAATTGCAGACTTTATTCCAAAAAAAAAAAAAATCTGCTTATCCTGACATCCAATAGTCACGGCAGCCTTTTAGATGCCGTAGAGTGCAAGGCAATGAGGAAGGCCCTGGGAGCTGGAGAGGGGCGGTACCCTGGAAAGAAAGGACTGAAGAAGAATCCTGCCAGCCCACAACCAGCCAGAGGTAGCAGCGATCTTCATCTCCAGCGTCTCCTCCCTCCCCATTTCCCTGGACAAGGTACAACCCTCCTACCACAGCAATTCAGACTCTTGTTAGGGTTTAAATGTCTTTTAAGATTTTTTTTAAAGATTTATTTATTTATTATGTACACAATATTGTCAGTATTCTGTCTGCATGTGTGCCTGCAGGCCAGAAGAGGGCACCAGCTCTCCTTACGGATGGTTGTGAGCCACCATGTGGTTGCCGGGAATTGAACTCAGGACCTTTGGAAGAGCAAACAGTGCTCTTAACCACTGAGCCATTCTTCCAGCTCCGTAAGATTTTTTTTTTTTTTTTTTTTTAAATTGTTTCTTAGGTGTCTGTGTGAGGACACATGCACATGCGTGCAGGTGCATACAGAGACCAGAAGAGGGCATCAGAGTCCTTGGAGCTGGAATTACAGGCGATTATGAGCCACCCAGCATGGGGGCTGGAAACTAAACTTGGGTCTTTTGCAAAAATAGTATCTCTCCACTCCCAGTTTAAATATTTGCAAATATGCAGACTAATGAAGCAAGGCAACAGCAGGAGCTGCACATGTAGTAATGCCCGGAAACAAAATTACTTGAAGGATGTGGTCCTGCGGTTATTTTGTTCTCTGTTCAGACTCTATTCGGGTACTCTCTTAAACAAATAAAAACAAAACGACAAAGAAAAGACCAAGTGGCATTCCCAGAATGCTTGCAGGATCTACAAGGACCCTGCGCTTCACTTCAGAAATCAAATAATCTCATTCTGCATATACTGCCGTGTCCTGCCTGGGGCTCGGTTCTTCAAAGAGGAATGCACTCGGCATCCCATCTCGGCTTTCATTAAATATACATCAACACCTATCCATCCGCACATGCAAATAAGAGTCAGGACACAGCTCACACCCTGCGTCTTTAAAAACAATTATTTTTAAGAGCCCTTATAAAGTGTTTTCAGTTATTAAAAGACATAAGATTTGCCAACTATAATTGAACTGGTTGGTCCGCTGAACATGACAAGATTGACTTCGTCTCTCTCTGGCATGTTTATAAGCTAATTTTTTTTTCTCGGTAAAAGCATTGGTCCTGACTACTTGGTTGGCATCAATATTTGAGGGCAGGATGAATTTGTAATGTAATTTCATTTCTACACCACCATGATTCACATAGAAACTGTATGATTGGCTTACAAAGAAATAGTTGATGGGCTCATTTATCCGGCGGTAGAGCTGCCTCACCCAAAGAATTTTTCCTGATATGGGGGGCATGTTGCGAGCGAGAGGGGGGTCATCTTTCTGAGAATGATAAAGCTGTAATTAAAAAATATATAATGTTAATGTTTGAATTCAACACAGTGGAGAAGGCAACGAAAACTTACAGCTACATTTGAATAGGTGGTTTCACCATGATTCACAGGTTGGGTGCCCAAGAGTTAGCCAATAAATATGCAAATAAGCTTCAGAACCAATGATCTGAGGCTCAGAAACAATCATGTCTCATTGAGTGGCCGAGGCTGGCTTCCAGCAAGCCCCAGGAGCCACCTGCCCTCACCAATGCAGCATGGGGGTGACAGGGGCATGCCACAGCTTTTAGTATCTGGGTGCTGGGGATCCGAACTCAGGTCCTCAGGCTTGTACGGCAAGCTCTTTACTTATGGGGCTGTCACCCCAGCCCCTTACCTCATTTGGAAGGTCTGACTACCCCAATGGTTGTGCTGTTTGGAAAAGTTGTGGAATCTTTAGGAGGGGGAAATAAACTGAAAGGGGGTGGAACCCTGGAAGTTATACCCACTGATTCGGTCTGGCTGGCAGCCATGTGAATAGCCTCAGGTCTACACCCCATGAGAATAGCCTCAGGTCTACACCCCATGTGAATAGCCTCAGGTCTACACCCCATGTGAATAGCCTCAGGTCTACACCCCATGTGAATAGCCTCAGGTCTACACCCCATGTGAATAGCCACACAGAGCCACTCCACTACCGCAGGCTGAAACACAGTCCAGCATGAATCATCCCCCTGTAAATACTTCGCACAGAATCTCGGTGACAGGAATGCAGACATAGTTAACAAGCATGAAGCATGTATTCTTTTTTATCCTCATCTGATGTTTCAAGGCAAGATTCCTAAGACTCGTAGCTACATTGTATCTGGTATAGTCCAGCACCTGCATTTCTCTGTGCAAAAACAAACAAACAAACAAACAAACAAACACCTGACCTAACTGGGCTCTGCTATATAATCTCGAGAAGACTGGAACAAAAGCAAAGTTTATAACAGCAAACAGGGGTGGATCTGGCAATCCCAGGACTTACCATGGAGACCCTCACACTCAGAGGGGAGCCTCCGGGAGGAATGTGTTGAACACCCTGGCAACGGTGAAGGTTTTCAGAGCCTCCCGCCCCATACTAACCCATTCTTCTGTGGATATGCAGGAGACTTACCTTCTTGGTAGCTTCAAGTTCAGCCACATAACACTGAAGAATCCGCTCAATTGTGTGATTGATTTCCAGTTGAAGGCAGGGAATGTTCAGCTTCTGAAACCTAAAAGTAATTGAAACCGGGTAATTAAAAGGGAAATGAGAAACGTATTACAGAATGGCGGGGGCACTAAACATCTGCTCTATCATTTGATAAACGTCTATTCCAGGCCCTGTGCATTTTCCCAGATATGTAACAGCCAACAAGGCAGGCGCACTCAGCTTTCCTGGGCCCTGCAGCTACCACTCAGAAAGGCAGGTGCTGCAATAATGGGCTGTCAGTCAATATCACACATCTACTCAGAGACTAAAAGACGCCTGGGAGGAACCAGGACCACACTGTTCTGATAACAGAATGAACTGACCAATAACCTATTATAGGTAGAGAGGGCAACGGGAGACAAACAGGGGCGGGGAGGGCACCATTAAAATGCTACCCGCCCTGTCACTTGTCAGAATCATTTCATGCCTGCTTTGAATCCTGTGGCCGTCTCCTGGGAGATCATGGCTATCACAGAGATGTGGAACTACAGCAAACCCACCAGAAAATCAGATGCCCTGACTCACAGGAAAGAATTTATAAAGCGGCCTCTGACGTGGGTCTTCTCTTATCTCTGTGTGTATGGATGTGGTGTGTGTGTGTGTGTCTACATGTATGTATGTCTCTGTTTGTTTCTGTCTCATACACACACACACACACACACACACACACACACACGGCCTCTAGTCCAACTCTCTAGTCTTGACTTCCGCCATCCATGGGAAGCACTGCCAATGGGAACAGAGGAGAAACGAGACCGGGGGAGCATATTTCAAGTGCTCTTGCCATAAACAGCCTGGGGATGGGGTAACTATCCCAGGTGAAAGGCGTTACTTTCTCAACTGTGTTGACCATGTTTCCTGTGTATATCAACCAATCAAATATATCTGTTCTAGTTTGCTTCTCTTGCTGAGGTAAACACCACAAGAAACTTGGGGAGGAAAGGGTTGATGTCAGCTTGCAGCTCTCAGGTCCCGATCCATCACGGAGGGAAGTAGGGATAGGAACTCAAGGAAGGAACGTGGAGGCAGGAACTGAAGCGGGAGCTGGCTTCTTCCAGACTCCCAGCAGCTACCTTTCCTACACAGCCCAGACCCATCCGCCTAGGAATGGTGCCACCCACAGTGGGCTAAGCCTGCCCACATCAATTCGCAATTACGAAAAATGCCCCCCCACACACACATGGCCACGGGTCAGTCTGAAAGAGGCCGTTCCTCAGCTGAGGCTCCCTCTTGACTTTGTTTCAAGTTGACAGCTGAAGTTAACTATGACAATATGCAATCGTGTTCTTTGGAAATTCTTTCTCCAAGTAAAATTAAACATTAGTTATTCCCTCTCCAATAATAACTATGAAATTAAAATGAAGGATATTACATGGCTGGGGCTAGGAAGCCATGTGAGACTTTCTTATGAAAGACTTTGTTATTATTTCTGAATCCAGAGGAGCATCCAGTACACACCTGTCCTCCCAGCACCTGGGAGAGGGAGGCAGGAGGAGCAGGAAATTAAAGGTCTTCCTTGGCCACAGAGCAAACCCGAGGCCGGCCTGGACTATAGTTGTGCTTGTTTCAGGAAAAAAAATCTAAAATGGTAAGAAAAATAATGCTCTGTATTCCAAAAATCTAATTAGTGGTAATGACAAGTTAATGCTTATAGCTTTTAAGGTTTATAAAGAAGAGGTTTCTGCCGGGCGGTGGTGGCACATGCCTTTAATCCCAGCACTCGGGAGGCAGAGGCAGGTGGATCTCTGTGAGTTCGAGACCAGCCTGGTCTACAAGAGCTAGTTCCAGGACAGGCTCCAAAGCCACAGAGAAACCCAGTCTCGAAAAACCAAAAATAAAAAAAAAGAAGAGGTTTCTAATTTGAAATTGTGGGCAGGTTTTTTTTTTTTTTGCTGTGTGTGTGTTCATGTGTGTGCAGATGTGTGTGTGCAATTATATGTGTACAGTTACAGTATGTGTGGGTGCAGGTGCATGTGTACAGATGTGTGTGTGCAGTTACATGTATGTGCAAGTGCATATGTGAGTGCAGGTGCATGTGTGCAGTTATGTGTGTGCAGGTACATATATGTGTGAGTTCATATGTGAGTGCACGTGCATGTGTACAGATGTGTGTGCAGGTATATGTATGTGTGAGTTCATATGTGAGTGCAGGTGTATGTGTACAGATGTGTATTGTGAAGGTACATGTATGTGCGGGTGCATATATGAGTACAGGTGCATGTGTGCAGTTATGTGTGTGTAGGAATACATATGTGTGAATTCATATGTGAGTGCAGGTACATGTGTACAGACGTGTGTGTGTGCAGGTATACATGCGCATGTGTATGCATGTGTGGAGCCCAGGGTACAACCCCAGAGGTCATTCCTCAGGTACATCTGCCCTTATCTCTTTTTTGAGACAGGGCCTCTTACTGGCCTTGAACTGACCGATTCAGCTAAACTGCATGGTCACCGAGCCCCAGGGATCCTCTTGCCTTTGCCTCCTCAGGAATGGTGGGCTACAAACCTGCCCTACCACACCCGGCTTTCTTCTTGCTTTCTCCTCTTTTTATGTGGGTTCTGGGAATTGAACTCAGGTCCTCCCCATCACAAAGCAAGCACTTAACCACCTGAGCTGTCAGAAACTGTGCCTTCCGAGGACCCACCCTCCTTCCACCTCTGTAATAAATACCTCTGAAGCAGCTGCAGCGCCTGCTGGGAAGACAAGATCTTTCCGAAGGTACTGTTCATAAACGCCTGTATCTGTATCTAAAATAAAAGGGCGATGTTCAAGTTATGTCTACACAAAGGAGGTTAGTTTTGTTCGATAATTAACAACATTTCTAAAGACTCAGACACAGCTACCTCCTGAGGTCCTAGTGATATACAAGATCCCTGTGATGGCCACATGCCACATGGCTACCGAATGTCACCACTTAGAAGTGAGATGTAGGTAAATATAGAGTGCACACTGCATGGCAAAGACTCAGTACCCCCTCCCCCCAGATCATATAAAATACTTCCTTCGTGAGTTAGACATTAACGGCATGTAAAAATTATGACACTCCGAATAGCTTGGAGCAGTCACAGAATATTAAGGCTAAACTCACCTTCTTTTTAGTCTATCCCTGTGCCTGCTAGGAAAATGAAAGGACCTTGTGTGGTTTGCTTGCATTTGCAGCTTGTGGTTGGATATTCTGATCGAGGGGATGTATAAAGGTGTGAGGGCTCCCAGCTAAATGTTTTCCCTTGGGAAGTTTGTCATTTCCAAGCCTGGGTCAGAAGATGTGAGCTGCCACACTACCGCCCTAGGAAACCTGGCTGCTGTGGCCCGGTGGGAACAGGGGGCAGAAGATGATCCTCCAAGACTCCCACCATCCCCAGCAATGGGCTTCAAGCTCTTGGCCCTGAGAGATGGAACTAAACCGGCTCCTTGCCAATGCATTTTCCACGTGAAAGGTATTGGTATCGGTGGTCAAATGGGTCACACCCACAAGGCAGTCAGACACTGGTAAGGGAAGTTCAAACACTGACATTACAATCAAGTTAACTATTGATAACTACCAAAGGGCTTGTATGAGCCGGGTTTGACGGCACACACCTGTAATCCTAGCACGCAGGAGACAGAGGCAGGAAACCTGCAAAAGCTGAGGTCAGCCTGTACTATGTACAGAGATGCCGTCTCAAAAAAACTGAAGGGCTGGAATGTAGCTCAGTGGTACAGTGCCTGCCGAGCAGGAAATCATATGGACACTAACTTTATTGAAAGCTGGAATTTACTCCTTTCATAATATATAAGCTTCATTAATAAATCATAAAGTTCTCAGAGAACAAAAATTTTAATTCCTGCTGCCATGAATATTTAACTCCCAATGTATTTTGGAAGTAAACTCCATCCAACTCAACTAGCCAAAATGAAAAGCAATAATGGGAATACATCTTGATATCAGAATCTAATTTTCAAAAAAAAAAAATGAAAGGGAAGCGAAAAACTAAGCTAACTTTTCAGGCCTGATGATGTGGGGCTATAATCTTAGTTACACTGCAGGCTAATGGAGAAAGAGCACAAGTTCAAGGCCTATCTTGACTATCGGAGAGATAGTAGGAGTGGTAACATTTTAGGAACTGTCTTATTAATACAGAAAATTACATGTAATAAAATTTAAAAGATTTTTTAAAATGAGACAAAAATCTTATTTTTCCTTCACTTTCACATAAAAAAAAAAAACTTAATTTCAGGAATTGGAAAGGGAGGCCAGTGAGAAAACTCACCGGGTAAAGGAATTTATACCAATGTTTAACATATCCTTTGGATGTTTGGTTATTGTGTATGTCTCTCATTGGGTATCTCATTTTTCACAAGGCAAAAAAGCTGAAAGGCTGGAAAATATGATGAGTGAAACACATGGGTTGCAAACATGAAGATGTTCAGATTCCGTGGTGGTCTGCATAAAAATGCTCCCTCTAGACTCACAGGGAGTGGCATCATTGGAAGTGTGTCACTGGGGGTGGGCACTAAAGTTTTAGAGGCTCAAGCCAGGCCCACTATCACACTCTCTTCCTGCTGCCTGTGAATGCAGACATAGAACTCTAGGCTTCTTCTCTAGCACCATGTCTGCCTGCCCACTGCCATGCTTCCCACCATAGCAATAATGAACTAAGCCTTTGAACCTATAAGCCCTGGTTAAATATTTTCCTTTATTAGAGTAACCATGGTCAGCCGGGCAGTGGTGGCGCACGCCTTTAATCCCAGAACTTGGGAGGCAGAGGCAGGTGGATCTCTGTGAGTTTGAGGCCAGCCTGGACTACAGAGCTAGTTCCAAGACAAGTTCTGAAGCTACACAGAGAAACCCTATCTTGACAAACCAAAGAAAAAAAGAGTAACTGTGGTCATGGTGTCTCTTCACAGCAATAGAACCCTAAGAAAGACAGATCCCCGGAGCCTACATAAAAAGCAAGGAATGATACTGTATGGCTGCAATCTCAGGAATAACCCAAGATCACAGAAACAAGTGGGCCAGCTAGCTTGTTCTACATGGTGAATTTCCAGGCTAATGGCAGGTCCTATCTCAAATCAAAGGTAAAAGACACCTGAAGTTGTCCCCTGGACTCCACACCTTGCACATTAAATACATACATACACATGATCCCACAAACCCATGTGTGTGTGTGTGTGCTCACATACACATAAAAGTGGAAAACGTTTTGTAGGTTACTTTAAAAATCATTCACCCTGCACATTTTTAAAGCAGCTTGGAATGGGAATATAATAAATAGTGAATATGTGTGGGTAGAGAGACAGCTCAGCAGTTAAGAGCACTGGCTGCTATTCCAGAGGACCTGGAATTCCCAGCACCCACATGTGTTGGGGATCCCTGCCATTAAGGTCACAGTCCACCATGCTGGATAGTTCTCTGAGATCAGCACAAAATGGAGGACTCCCTTTCTCAGTGGGGCTTCCTCTTCTCCGCCTGAACTTATTTGGAGGATGACCCTGCACACAGCCCCCTATAAACCCTGCTCTTTCCTCCCGCCCATATGCTAATTAGGTGCTGTGGAATAACCAATCAGCTCTTCCGGCCAGTGACCTAGGAACCCTTATATACTTTTCCCCTGGAGCAATAAAACGAACTGTCTCTCTGAATTCTTTCTGTCATACAGCCATCAGGCCCTGCTCACCGCTTCTGCTCCCTTCACCCTCACAGGCCAGCAGCCAACAACCCAGAGGAAAAGGAGACACCCACACATAGTGAGTGGCTCAGTCTACTCTAACTCCAGTTCCAGGGAATCTAATACCCTCTTTTGAGGGCACTGGGCACACATGTGATATACAGACATGCGTGCGAACAAAACAACCATACAAATGAAAGAAAATAAATTTTTTGAAAAGAGTAAACACATGAGCATTGCTCTCCATGTGGGTATTTGCACTAACAGCACCGAGAGGCACCCCCAGCTATGCTTCCATTTTTCTCAGTGCAAACTTGTGTAACTACTTACCTCTAAAGTATTGATTTTTGACATAAAATCCGAGAAATCTGTGTCAAATTCTGTTCTTCGTGGATCCAGGATGTCATACTGGTTTTTCTTAATCCCTTGATAGATGTTTTTGAATTTTATCGCCATGATATCTATTCCTTCGATCGTAGAGTTGCTCAGGGCTGTGTACGTCTGCACAATGGTTATCATTTCTGTAATCTTCACATGGAAATGCTAGATGGTTAGAACTGGGCTTCTGGGCTGAGTGCGTTTGCACAATGGTTATCATTTCTGTAATCTTCACATGGAAATGCTAGATGGTTAGAACTGGGCTTCTGGGCTGAGTGCGTTTGCACAATGGTTATCATTTCTGTAATCTTCACATGGAAATGCTAGATGGTTAGAACTGGGCTTCTGGGCTGAGTGCGTTTGCACAATGGTTATCATTTCTGTAATCTTCACATGGAAATGCTAGATGGTTAGAACTGGGCTTCTGGGCCCCTTTCTCTGGCATAGACTTTTTAATGGATCATTGACTTAAAAACAAACAAACAAACAAAAAATGCTGCTATCCTGCACCTGTATCCCAACACTTGAAAGGAAATGGTGGGAGGATGAGGAATTTGACTGCATCCTCAGCAGATAGTGAATCTGAGCAAATCTGAGCAAATCTCTGTGTGTGCGACAAGCTGGGAAGGCTGGGAATCCACGAGACCTGAGTGCAGTTTGTAGAACCCACATGGTGGTTCACAACCATTTAAGATTCCAGTTCTTGGGGTATCTGGCAGCTTCCTCTGACCTCTGAGGGCACCAGGCATGCACAGGGTACCCACACACGCGGTACACGTGCATATAAGCAAAACACTCATCCAGGGAAAGCAACCTAAAACAATAAACCCTCATATCTACAAATTATGCAGTTCTTTGCCTTGAGTGATTCCTGCTCTGAATCCCTGCTTTCAGTAATCCAGCTCAGAACTCTCCACGGAGAGATTATTTTTGTTAATCAGTGGCGGGAAAGGAAATGTGCCTCTCCTCAGCATGTCCTCCAAATACCGCGTCCCATGAAGACAATACTGCTGGTTCTTTGACACGGCAGATTCTCATGCATTCTCACTACACCACACAGACAGTCCTTGTGTGCCTCACCCAGACACGGCCTTGTCAGGGTGACAACTAGTGTCACCGTACTTTTTCCATAAGCCATTGTCTCAGAGATGCAACCACCTGAAATTTATGTTACAGGAGCTGTATAAACACGAGAAATGACTGGACTGCCTCCTAATATCAAAATTCTACAGGCCTACTGTGTGAAACAAAAGCCAAGACAGGAAGTCAACATGACTAACCTGATGTTATTCTGACCTCTAAGACACTGACTCTCCCCTACCACCCAGCTACAATAGCCAGAAAGTAGGACATGATAAGAAAAAACATACAGTATGTGTCTTCATGTGGTTAGCTTAATTCATTTTATCTTCAGTTACATCTATTTCTCTGTATAATCATAAGATTTAATTTATTTTTTAATTATGTGTGTGTGTGTGTGTGTGTGTGTGTGTGACTGCAATTTCCCCCAGAGGTCATAAGAAGGCATGAGACCCCATAGAGCTGGAGCTACAAGAAGTTATGAGGGCTGGCTGTTAACCAAACAGTGTGTGCCCTTAACCTGAGGTATCCCTCCAGGCCCTCTGACTTCTTTTTTTTTAACAGGGTCTCTCATTGAACCTGGAGCTCCACTGGGTGGCTGGCCGGCCGCTGAGCTCCAGGAATCCACCTCTCTCTGCCCCACCAGCACTGGAGTTAGAGGCCAGCACCACCATGCATAACCATTTACAGGGCTGCTGGGTATCCTCACCCAGGCCCTTACAGGGCTCTGAAAGCGCATCACCAGAACCATCTCTCCAGTTCCTGTATAGATCCCCAGAATGACTGACAACTGGGAACTCTTAGTGTGGGTTCCTGATAGTCTTCTAAGGAACACCATCCCTCCTCAGGCCTAAATAACTAAAGTCAGAGGTGAGGGGTTTCCAGCAGCTGTCTGCCCAGCAAAGGCTCCCTATACACACCGTTCCCATACACACCCTTCCCATTCACACCATTCCCATTCACATTGGTCCCATACACACCGCTCCCATTCACACCGGTCCCGTACACACCCTTCAGAACTACTACATGGTGCATATTGGTCCTGAAAGACTGGTGTCTACACATTCAGATCCTGCATGTTTACAGGGCTTGCCAACTGCACACGTTTTCTCGGCTTAATATTGTGGTCAAAGGCACATCCTTCACGTTCAGGACCTATCTGTGTAAGAAGAATTGAGGTCTTGGGAGAGGTGGAAGTTCACAATAGCCTTTGGCTGGCACAAGGCAATACTAGCTCGGGATGGGAGGAAAAAAGATCAGTTCAAACAAATGCAGTGATAGATGGGTAACTTAATTTAATTGGACAAGTTGGATCAACGCCAGGAAGAGACCCGAAACAATGATCCTCAGCCACTCTGCCTGAAACCCCAAAACACCAGCCCTGTGCAGGTGGGAGTGGGGTCCTGTGACTACAGAAGGCTTACCTTCTCCAGCCTCTTACAGAAGGCTTCAAATTTCCCAAATATATACATCTCTGAAACCTCGAAAGACTTCTCCCCTGAGGACTCTAAAATCTGCTTCCTTGTCTTGTGAAAGGATGTCTGATACTCCTTGAAGAGAAAAATGCAGTCCTACAAGAGAATGGGAAAGCGAGAGGGAGAAAAAGCGTGAGGTGGTGGCTGACAGGTTGGTGCCAGCCTGGCCACACTGGCCCATCAGCCCCGCAGACAAAGGCTGGCACTGTGAGCAGAAGACGGCAGACGTTCTCATTCTGCGCCTGGAGAGCAAAGCCTATGGACAACCACATCACATTTTAAATGCTTCGTTTTTATTTTAAACTTTGTTTTTTTTTAAAAAAAAAAAAAAGGTTGCAAATTGAAATACAAAAGAAAAAAATCACACACCAAAATTATCCAGACTCAAAGACTATACAACGCAACGAAATTCTAAACAATTAGAGAGTTCAAAAAAAAAAAAAATGGAGACACATTCTACCCTCATCGCTCCTTTTCCACTATTTCCTCTCAACTCACCCCGCACTAAAGCATGTCATTAGGTTTTATTCTATTTTTTTTTTTTGGGACAGGGTTTCTCTGTAGCTTTTTGGTTCCTGTCCTGGAACTAGCTCTTATAGACCAGGCTGGCCTTGAACTCACAGAGATCCACCTGCCTCTGCCTCCCGAGTGCTGGGATTAAAGGTGTGCACCACCACCGCCCAGCAGGTTTTATTCTTTCACAGCTAATTAAGTGAAAGGCTCGTGTGGGTGAACAGCCTTCTGATTCTTCGTATTGATACTCATGGGCACGTGCCTCTCTCATGCGGGCCACAGCAGCTTGTCTGTGCACTGGGCAGCGGTCAGTGGGGAGCTGCAGCAGGACCAGAATGCTGAGGGAAGAGTCTGGGTGCTCAGCTCTACAGGGGACACCCATAGCTCTGTGAGTTCGAGGCCAGCCTGGTCTACAACGTGAATTCCAGGACAGCTACGACTGTTACACAGAGAAACCGTGTCTTGAAAAACCAAAAGAAAAAGAAATAGATCAAGCCAGTTAAAATTCAGGCATCAAACGGTGGGGAAGCTCCAGGCCCCACCCCTTAGAAGAGCAACTGACAGTTTATAGGGGGACGGGGATTCATTGTTTGAGAAGGGTGTGGCCACAAGTAGGGTTTTCACACTACTGGGAGACCCATACCACACACCCCCACACACATGGGCTGCACTGACTGAACTCAGTGAGTCACAAACAAAAACAAAACACAGGAAGTTGAGAGGAGACATGCTGGAGGGAATAGACAGGAGGTTGGAGGGGAAACGGGGGAGGGGGTGAGCAGATGCCATCATATTTCATTGTAAACACGTATAAAATTCTCAGGAAATATAAGAAAAAGAAAAAAATCCTAAGAATCCCCCAGAGGCTTGGAAATTTTCCCTGACGATATCGGTATTCAGCTGGCATCTATATTTGTACCAGCATGCTAGTTTTTGTTGTTTCTGACAGTCTCTCACTATATAGCCCAGTCTGGCTTCAAATTTGTGGTCTGCCTGACTCAGCCTCCTGAGTATTCCACGCATGCATCCCCACGTAGTCAGCACCTGCATTTGTTACATCCGTGAACACACAACATGAAGACTTTTCGTTGATAACTTGTTTTCTTTTTTTTTTTCAATATTTATTTATTTAGTCTACAATATTCTCTCTGTGTGTATGCCTGCAGGCCAGAAGAGGGCACCAGACCTCATTACAGATAGTTGTAAGCCACCATGTGGTTGCTGGGAATTGAACTCAGGATCTTTGGAAGAGCAGGCAATGCTCTTAACCTCTGAGCCATCTTTCCAGCCCGATAACTTGTTTTCTTAAGGCAAGGTCTTACTACATAGCCCTGGTTGACCTAGACTAACTTGCTATGTAGACCAGGTTGGCCTCAAATTCAGAGAAATCCATCTGCCTCTGCCTCCTGAATGCTGGGATTAAAGGTATGCACCCTGTTTCTCAGCTAATTTTATTTTTTAAATACACACACAGCAAAGTTTTTCAGTGAGTGTGGTGCTTTGACTAAGAATGGCCTCCGAAAGACTTACACCTGAATGCTTAGGGGGCTGCATTAGGAGGTGTGGCCTTGGCGTGGGCGTGGCTTTGTTGAAATAGGTGCATCAGTTGACTTTAAGGTCTCAGAAGCGCTATTCTCTTCCTGCTGCCTGCTGATTCCCTAGCTCCTTCTCCAGCACCATGTCTGCCTGCAAGCCACCATGCTTCCCGCCATGACAATTATGGACTAAACCACTGAACCTGTAAGTCAGCCCCAATTAAATGTTCTCCTTTACCATGGTGTCTCTTCACAGCAATAGGACACTGACCAATCAGACAGTCATTCAGCTGTTTCTAGGCTGTCCTTGCCCTCAGCACTGGCTCAGGAGCATTCCCATTTTTCTGAGAATTTTTTTTCTGGCTTAGTCTGACACTGTTTCAACTGGCTCGGCTCATCCCTTCTGATAAACGATCTTGCCCTCGCAGGGGTGACTTCTTTTATTTATTTTTTTATTTTATTCTTCGCCGCGTTTTAAGGGTATTCTCTGGACACATTTCAAAGCTTCTTCCAAAACGCATGTTCTGCTGTCAAACGGTGAAAGCTGTGTGGACTTTCAGGTCACCCGAAGGCATCCTCCTGTCGCTGTAGGCATCTTAGGCCCTGTCCTTTTGTAAGTTACTGCGAGCCGATCTGCTTCTCAGCTTTCTTATGAGGGCTCGGTGTTTGACGATTCTTTTCTTTGTCGATTAGTGCTCTCGACAGCAGAAAAACAATCTGTGTCTGTATGAAGGGTAATAACTCTGCCTGGGCTATATGTGGGTAGTGGAGGTGCTTGCAACCTCTCCGGGTAACTGCAGGAGAGTCCTCTGATTTCTCTACCTTTTGTTGTGTGAGACAGGATCTCATGTAGCCCAGGCTGGTCTCAAACTCCCTGTGTAGCCAAGGCTGACCTGGAATTCCCCATCCTTCCATCTCTACCAGCCCAGTGCTGGGGGCACAGGTGTGTGCCTCCGAGCCTCCTTTTCTGTGGTGTCTGAGATGGGACACAGAGACTCGGGCAGGCTGAGCTAACTACACCCTTAGCCCAGTTTGTCCAGTTCTAGGATTCGAGGCTCAGCTTCCTGTTTCTCTATTGTAATTTGATCATAGATACTTAGCATGAGAGAGGGGCCTGGGGTAGGGCTGCCATCCCTGTCCCCTAGGAGAGGCGAGTGTTAGAGTCCGGAATGACAAACCAGCTGGAGCCTGTCAGTTTCCCCAGTCCTCCACCACTTTGACCTGCTCCTCTCATTGCCACTGCGACACATCAAAGACTTATTTTAATTACGGGGGAGGGGGAAGGGTTGTATGCGCAGGTGCCCACAGGGGCAAAGGCTTTGGGCCCCCCCCCAGATGAGTTACAGCACTCTGCACTGCCGAGCCCTCTAGCCCCACCGCAGTGATGTATCGTTGACAATCCTTTTTCATGTTCTCACGCTGCGCCACTCACGACAGCTTCCCAGTGAGCCATGTTTTATGAATGAGCAGAGTAAACGACACTGAACTGGCAGGTGAGAACCTGATGGGAATGAAAGACTTTTACAAACCTGGATCTTTTTGAGGACGGCCGGGGTCTCCTGGTCCCACACATGGTTTGTTCCCCCATCAGTGATATACGCTTTGCACGCTGTCACCATCTGGTTTGTGACCTAAAGCAGAGGTAGGGTACAAAGTAGCCTTAGGTAAAACGCCTTTGGGAAACATAATATACATGATCAATGTGATGATAAATAAGCTTATAGAGTAAATAAATCACAATTTAAAAAAAAAAAAACACAAATCCAATCAAAATAAAGAAACCCCAAAGTCACATTTGCCTGCTGCAGTTAGGTCACTGGGGCCATGAGTCCCAAAGTCAAGCACATTTTCCATCTGTCCTGCACACAGTAGGTCTGATCTACTCCAAGGCAATGATGGCTAGCCTTCACAAGACGGTTAGGAGAAGGATTATAGACCAATGGGAGACTGCTCGCCTAGCAAGCTCAAGGCCCTGGGTTCCACCCCGAGCATCACTCAAAATGGGTGCAGTCCTGTAATCCCAGCACTCAGAAGCTAAGGCCGGGGATCAAAGGTTAAAGGTCATTCATGTCTTCTACTACATAAGAGAATTTGGGGCCAGTTTGGGAATCCTGGGACCTTAGCAGAGAGGCTGAGGGAGAGATAGAATGAGAAAGGCGGAGAGAGAGAGAAGGGAGCGAGAGGGAGAGGAGGAAGAAAAACTCATCTCAGTACGTACAGAGAACCTGGAGGAGTTTTTAAATGCACAATGCATGCAAGATCACATCCACAGGCATGCAGACATGACTGGAGAAGGATGATCACTCCAGGAAACGCTAAAGATTGGTAATAATGTGAGTTCAGCCTCAGTCGTGACTCAGAGCGACTTCAGCAGCGGGCTCTATAGCGAATGCCTTCGCCTGCTGAACCGTCTCTCCGGCCCCAGGGCTAGTTTTTGCAGCAAAAGAAAAAGTAAGTCACAAAGTGAGGCTATGCACAAGTCACAAAAACCATCAGTGGTCAAAGAAACTTGCAATATTTAATCATTAGTCTGAGTGGTTGCCTCAGTGTTTCTATTGCCGTGAGAAAACACTGGCCCAAAGCAGCCTGGGGAGGAAAGGGTTTTATTACAGCTTCGCTTCCACACCACTGTCCACCAGTGAGGGAAGTCAGGGATGGAAGGAGGAGCTGATGCAGAAGCCATGGAGCTGTGCTGCTTACTGGCTTGCTCCTCATGGCTTGCTCAGCCTGCTTTCTTATAGAACCCAGGACCACCGGCCCAGGGATAGAACTATCCACAATAGGCTGGACCTGCCCACAGCAACCAACAATCAAGAAAATGTCCTCAAAGTTTTGCCTACAGGTCAATGCCATAGAGATAATTCCCAGTTAAGAATCCAGACAAACAAACAAACAGGGGTGGTAGTGGAGAGGCAGAGGCTGGAGGATCTCTATGAGTTCAAGGACAGCCTGGTCTACAGAGCTAATTCCAGGACAGCCAAGAATACACTGAGAAACCCCGTCTTGAAAACCAAATAGAAAAAAAAAAGTCCAGACAACCCTAACTTATGTCAAGTTGACATTACAACCAACCATCATGTTCTGGTTCACAATGTTGAAAAAATGTTAATAATCTGGAACCAAGAAAGATCTCAACCGGGAGCATTGGTAGCAAGAAGGAAGCCAAAGGGCCGAGAGGATTCATTCCCCTGGTTATCTGGGGTGCAGCGTGTAGCTAGATCCCTATTTCCTTTTATAGAACTAATGTGTGCTTTTACATGTCTAATTCGATTCTATGTGAATGTTTCTTGGATAACTTTTTAAAGTCTCTAAAATAATTAACCGCATGATGCAACATGAGCGTTTAAAACAAGCTGAAGCCGTATCTACTGGGTAGGCACGAAAGAAAGTACTTGGAATGACTAAAAGGAAGAGAGCAGCGACCTCTAAGCAAGAAGCCTGGAGCTGACCTCCGGCAGGAGAAGGGCACTCGTTACTACTCCCACAACACCTGACTCCAATTGACACCCCCACCCCCTACCCCACTCCACCCCAAATTTACTCCCACTTTCACCCCACCCTACCCCTATGTGGAAATTTGAAAATTCAGATCTCTGAAAGTCCCCAAACTTCCCAGCTCCCTCCTGTGGCTCAAATGGAAAGAACTATGAACTGTTTCACAGGACCCTGTGTGTGGCTTCCGCTAGAAACCATGATGGGCTGGCGGGCTGACTCAGCAAGTCAAGGCCCTTGTGCCTCGAGACAAGAGGCCTGACTGAGTTCAATCCAAGGGACAGTGTAAAGGTAGAGAGAACCAGACCCGTCAATGATGTCCTCTGACCGCCACAAGTTTCTGTAGCACAATTGCGCCCCGCTACACACACACCTTACATACATACACTCGATAATAATAATAGCATCTCACCTTGATGAATAAAGAGGTCATCCTTTCTGATGTGTTATAGTACCTCGACACACTGTGAATCATCCTGATGGCATTAATCAAGTTCTGTATTCCATGTGCCATGGACACCTAGATGGAGACACCGGAATGAACCCTATCATGCAGGCCATTCTGGTTTGCTTCCCCTTGCTGAGATAAAACGCCATGGCCAACTGCTTCAGTTACACAAGCTAATTTTAGAAACCACACTTTTTCAACATTTTAGATTCCTAGCCATACCCCCAGGCCCTAGAAACTGCTCCTTCAGGAGCATACTCACCAGGTCGTAGTTATAGAGGGGCTGGCATACTTTCTCCAGGGTGTACAAATACCGCACGTTATCTTTGGATTCATTGGCTGTGTCGGTGATTCTGGCATCCAAATCACGCCAGTTCTATGGAATCAAAATTGCATAAGAATTCAATCCACACATCTTGGTGGCCTTCAACTTTGTCATGAAATTCAAGCTGCTCCCCCTGAGCAAACATACACTGTAAAAATATTGAAGTGTGACTGGTATATTTTTTTTATTTTGAAAAAGATTTACTTGGGCTGGAGAGATGACTCAGTGATTACGATCACTAGCTACACTTCTAGAGGTCCTGAGTTCAATTCCTAGCACCCACATGGTAGCTGACAACTGTCTATAACTGTCCCATAAGATCTTATATTCTTCACTCGGAAGGCAGAGGCAGGCGGATCTCTGTGAGTTCGAGACCAGCCTGGTCTACAAGAGCTAGTTCCAGGACAGGCTCCAAAACCATAGAGAAACCCTGTCTTGAAAAACAAAAAAACAAACAAACAACAAAAAAAGATCTTATATTCTTTTGACTGCAAGACGTGCAAACGCGCCTGCCAGTAACACACCAATAAGCATAAAAAATAAATCTTTTATTTAAGAAAATGATTTACTGTTATTTTTAAAATATGTGTTTATGGGGGGTGGGTACACAATATAGGTACCTGAGGAGGCCAGAAGAGGGTTCCCTGGACCTGGAGTTACAGGTGCTTGTGAGCCACCCAATATGGATGGTAGGAACCACAGTAGGGTCCTTCGGAAGAGTAGTAATTGCACTGAGCAATTTCTCCAGCCCCTGGTATATCCTTTTCTCATAGAACTTAAGACAACATTACAAGCATGTTAAATGACTGCCTAAAAATAAACTTAATCCTTTGTAATTAATGTCCTGTCTATAGGCTTGGCCTGGACCTGCTTCTACCTTGAGTGATTTTCCCAAAATGGGTACTTATGACATTATCTAATAGTTCCGGATCTTCCACAGTGAGCCGCACTATTAGAACATGGCTCAAAGAAAATATACTTATTAGCAAAATGGGACTCAGTTGGAAGTCAACAGCTTCTTCTAAGTTGTTGTACTCTGAATCAGAAACGTGTCTCAAAGGCTCGTGTTTTCAATGCTTGGTTCTCAACTTTGTGGATTATTCTGAATGCTATAGAGAGGCTTCAGGACAGCGGCTCTCGGCCTTCCTAGTGCTGTGACCCTTTTCTACATCTCTTCATGCTGTGGTGATCCCAACCATCAAATGATTTTCTTTGCTACTCCATAACTGTAATTTTGCTACTGTTACGAATCATATGTAGATATCTGTGTGTTCCGATGGTCTTAGGCGACCCCTGTGAAAGGGTCATTCGACCCCAGGGGTCACAACCCAGAGGATGAGAACCACTGCTTTAGGAGCTGGGGCCTGACTGATAGAGAGGAAGGCCCCCACATTTGCCAGCTTATGGTCTCTGTCTCCTGGTCCACAGCATATTAAAACCTCTGCCACCCGCTCCTGCTACTGTGAGCTCCACCAGGCCTGCCCTGCAAGAATGGGCTAAAACTTCCGAAACCATGAGCCAAGGTGAAGCCTCCCTCCTTCCGTTATCTTAGTGTTTCCTCTGAGTGCTGAGAGAGACAGAAAGCTAGTGTCAGAGATAGGAGGTCACGGCTGCAGCGACCCTGACCATGTGGTGCTGAGGCCTTACAAACTGGCCTGTGGGAGAGCTCGGAGCTGTGGGCTAGAGAAGCCTTCTAATACTGTAAGCAGAGCTCAGCTGGTCATCGTGGTGGGAATTTGGAAGACCAGAGCACTGTGTTATCTTTCAGAATCAAGAATGGGAAGTGGGGCTAGGGGGAATACTATGAAAAGACATTTGTTTTATACCTACTGTCTAAACGTTTTACAAAAGAGAAAAACCATTATTGCATTTTTATACAGAGAAATGCAAACTTTAAGGAGACAAAGAATAAGAAAAGAACATGGAAAGCACAAAGCTCAACTGTAAATTAGAAAGACCTGTAGGGGAGGCTGGAGAGATGGCTTAGTAGTTAGAGCACTGGGTGCTGTAGTAGACCAGGGTTCGATTCCCAGCACCCACATGACAGTTCACAACTGCTTCTAATTACAACTCCAAGGAACCTAATGCCTTCCTCTGACTTCTGCAGACATCAGACACTCATGTAGTGCACACACATGCAGGCAGGCAAAACATGTGTACACATAAATTAGAAATAAATCTTAAAAAAAATAATAAAATGATCCCAAGGAAAAGAGGTGGAACGGAGGTGTGGGGAAACATATGCTGAGCAGAACGTTTGCTTTTGTCTTTCCATGTAGTTATCATCATCATCATCATCATTATTATTATTATTGGTATTATTATTATTGTAAGGTTCGTTCTTATTTTATGTGTGGAGTGTTTGTCTGCATGCATGTGTGTGAAACCACATGTGTGCAGTTCCCAGGGAGGCTAGATGAGACTATCAGACACCCTGGAGCTAGGCTTAGGGATGAGTGTTTGAAACCATGTACAAGCAGATCCTCTGTAAGAGCCACCAAGTGCTTTTAACAGCTGAGCCATCTCCCCAGAGCGGCTCTATACCACAGCAAGTCTACACTGATTTACAATCCCCCAAACACTTGCAAGATAAAAATGATCACTTCTCTGGATGGCACTCCATAGATGAACTGTCAAAACTGAGAAATAATCTTGGTTTTATCAAGTGGAAACTACGGTGGTATACAAGAAAGCCTGATTCAAAAGCTTCACGCTTCTAAATACGTGACTACTGTGTAAAGAGAAACCACCTAATGCCACAGAACACAACGGAATGGTGGCCACAAAAGACTGGAGCGGACCCCAAAAGTACAACTCGACAGGAAGAACTCATTCTGGCTTTTCTATAGCACAGGAGGGATAACTGCTGACTTAAACTATCTACAGTGTTAGGCCAAGATGTCTACGAAAGTATGAACATGCAAAAACGATGCATCCTTGTGGGATGGGGGCAAGAGCTTCATCATTAAAGTGTCTCTATTAATGTAAGACCTGCACTTGACCCCCAGAACCCATGTCAAAAAAAGCTGGTGCGGTGTAACACATGTCATCCCAGAGCTGGGGAGCCAGGGCCAGGCGAATATCTGGGGCTCACTGGTCAGCCAGCCTCACCTCTTTAGTGAGTGAGGTGGAGGGCAGAGAGATGGCTTAGCAGCTCACTGTGCTTGCTGCTCTGAATCTGGTCCCCAGCTCCCGTGCCATGTGGCCTGTAACTCCAGCTACAGGGGATCCAACATTCTGGCCTCCGTAGAGCATATCTATGTGATATACACACACAATACGCCCCAAAACTTTAAGACGCCATTTGATAAGGGTAATTTTCTAGTAAGGCATTCTAAAGTACATCCAGGTTTACAACGGAAGACCTTTTACCTTTAACAGCTTGGAGTGTGCAACGTTTAGCACATTTATGACGGCCTTGCAGCTGGGCCCTTTAATCTGCTCGATGATGTAGTTGAACTTGGCTGACATACGCTTCCAATGCTCCAGTTCAGTGAGTGGACCCGAATCATCGGCTTCTTTTCTCATCTGCTCACTCTCAATAAGGACCTGCAATTGAGTATCACGCAACTATCTGTAGCCCCCTCTTCTGGCTGCCATGGGTACTGCTGGCATGTAGTACACATACATACACACAGGCAAAAAAACACTCATACACATAATAAAACAAAATAAACATTGTTAAAATTTCAAACCTTAATATCCCTAAAGACACCCGCCAAATGAAAAGACATGACATGGGGGGGGGGGACAACAAAGACTTAAGATTGGGAAAGATTATGTAAATAAAGTCCAGCAGTTCAGTGGGATAGCACCAGGCAATTCAAGTGAAATCTCAGCAAAGGATTTGGACAGGCAAGTCAACAAAGAAGACGCCTAAGCAGCCATTTAATATGCTCAACTCCAGTCATATTCAGGATAGTGCAAGGTCAATCAAAACGGCAGTGCACACTTGCTATAAGGGCAATCTGACGATCCCGGCTATAACCAATGGCTTGAAGAAAGGAGAGCAGCCATGTGCTTCTGTAACGTACATAAATCAACTCAACCCCCACTGTGCCAGTTATCTTTGATTGTCACAGAAGATTCAGTGAGGAATAGCCTCGAGCAGGCGGGCCTGAACTAATGTGTGGGAAGACCCACCCGGTCCACCTTGGTGGCACCATTCCCTAGGCAAGGGATCCTGGACTATGTAAGGATATATATATATATTTACCTCTGTATACATGGGTAGGGAGGGAGCTGAGCATGAGTAAGCATGCATTTACTTCATTCTGCTCTTAAGGATGGATGTTCCATGACTAGCTGTTTCAGAGTCTTGGCACCTTGACTTTCCTACAGTGGTGGGTAGGTGCCTGGAATTGTGAGCCCTTTCCTCCTTGATTTACTTGGGTGAGTGTGTGCGTGCACGTGTATGCGTGCGTGCGTGCGTGTGTGTGTGTGTGTGTGTGTGTGTGTTTGTGTGTGTGCGCGTGCATGCGCGTGTGTGTGGCTGGGAATTAAACTTAGGGTTTTGTATGTCTGAGACAGGCACTCACATTCCCAGCCCTGCTTTTTTTTTTTTTTTAACCACAGTACTGGAGGTAAAACTACAATAATCACTATTTGGAGGGCATGATACTATTCAATAAGAGCCCTCTACTCAAATGCTCGGAGGGATTCCACTGAGAGACTCCTGAGCGCACGTAAAGGAAGCCGAAGCAAAGATCACTATTGCATATGCATTACTGTCCTTTGTAACAGCAAAAGTAGGAGTGACTTACTGAGGGAATGGAAGATTAAACCTCTCTACTTCCTTAAATAATGGATAACAGATATAATTTAAATATTGAAAAGTCTATCAAACAAAATACAGTTTCTTTCTCCTATCTAAGGTCACTTCCTTTTTAAGATTTATTTTATGTATATGAGTGTTTGCTTGCATGTTTGACGGTGAACCACATGCATTGTAGTGCCCATGGAAGTCAGAGAAGGGCATCGGATCCCCTGGAGTTATAGGTGGCTGTGAGGAGCTCTGTGGGTGCTGAGAGGTAAACTCACGTCCTCTGCAAGAGCAACAGGTGTCCCTAAGTGTTGAGCCATCTCTCCAGTCCCAAAATACGGTTTCTTTCTAGAGGAACCGGATATCCGTTAAGAGAACGGACAAAATGCACTTGAGCCAACAGGAAATGGGTGAAAGGGATTGTGGCATGATGGTGTGGGGTTTAAAAAGTGAGGATACCCTTGGCATGGCAACGGGCTAGATGCTGATGCTCCCCCGCCAAACTCATACGCTGAGGCCTGATCCAGTGTGATGGTATTTGGAGGCAAGGACTTCGGAAGGTTATTAAATCATGAGAAGGCTGCCCTTCTCAACATCTGCATCTCTGTTAGTCTGCGAGTGCGCATGACCTCATGGACGCGTGCCGAATGGAAGCCAGAAGCCAACCCAGTTGTCTTTCCTGTGGCACCATATGCTTGGCTTTGAGACTGGGTCTCTCATTGGGTCCTGGGGATCACCAATTAGGCTAGACACCTGGCCAGTAAATGTCAGGGATCCTCCCATCTCCGTTCTCCCAGTCCTGCGATTGTGGGTGTAAGCCAATACACCTGCCTTTTCTGTTGCTGGTGGCTGTTTCTGGAGACAGGGTTTCTCTATGTAGCCCTGGCTGTCCTGGAACTCTCTTTGCACACCAGGCTGACCTTGAACTCACAAGAGATCCAAGGCATTGCGCCACCTCAGCCTGACACACCAGCCTTTAACCTAGGTGCTAGGGTTGTACCCAAGCACTCACATTTGCACGACAAGCACTTCAACCACTGAGCTCCCTCCACGGCCCCAGCAATTTTGACATAGGCCATGTTCTTGTTTGTTTTTACTGCTGTGGGCTTGGCATTGAAACGTTGCTATGAAAAGCCTAGGCAGAACCTATGTGACAGCAGCAACACATTCCCACTGTTCACCCAGGATGTCCTCACGCAGTGTTGATCTCTGTGGCGGGTCACTGTCATTTTCCCCCTCCTTGTTTTTCATGGCAAGTATTAGCAACACACAAGTGACCAGGGGATACAATGTCCTGTTTTGGACCCATAAGCCTGGGGCTCGAGGGGAAACGGAGTGGCCTCACCTGCTCGATCTGCTTGTACCACATCATCAGCACCTCTTCCAGCTGATGCACCATCTCGGAGTTGCTCGCCGCAGCTGTGACTTCTTCAAAGTTTTGCAGTTTGGAGAAGTCGATATTGTCTACCTTCTTCAACATCACTGTGCCTTCAATGCTTATTCTAGCGCCTAAAACAATGATACAGTATAAAGAAGAAAATGATACAGTATAAAGAAGAAAATGATACAGTATAAGGAAGAAAACGAAACAGTATAAAGAAGTGCCCATACATTAAATATCAACAGCTGCAATATTTAGAGAAACTTATAGGATAGCCTGGTTCATAAAGATACAATTCTACAGGCAGGGATGTAGCTGAGTTGGTAGATTGCTCTCCTAGCAAGCATAAAACCCTGAGTTTGATCCCCAGCACCATATAAACCAAGCATACTAGGTTCCACCCCATATTTGTGAAAGTGGAGTCAAAGGATCAGGAGTTTAAGGCCATCCTGGGTTACAAAGGGACTTCAAAACAAGTCCATGTGAGACCCTGTCTCAAAAAGAAAAGAAAAAAAAAGGTTGTGAGAATATGAACTTATGAATAAAGTTGTATATTTCTGCAATAAGTGATAAAAGCACATTTTAGAGAAATCACCATAAAGTACAGTTTGAAAGTATTTATTTTCCGTGTACATGTATGTGTACATGAGCATATGCACATGCACCACATGTGTGCAATACCCATGAAGGCCAGAAGGGGGCATTGGATCCTCTGGGACTGGAGTTACAGGAGGTGGTGAGGTCCCATGTGGGTACTGGAAACCAAGCCTGGGTCTTTTACAAGAGCAGCAAATGCTCTGAACTGCTGAGTCTCCTCTCTAGCATAAGTACGTATGTTTTAGTGGCAAACTTTTGACCAAGAACAAGAAGAGATTCCCCTTACTCTTTTACCTGCAGAGCTCCCTAGTAATGAGAGTTTCTCAGGTTTCCCCCCTCTTATCTCCAGGTCTCCTGGGAACTTTTATTACCACCTCCTTTTGGAGACCCCTTCTATAAACCCTGTTTCCAGTAATGTACCTTGCAGCTAACGGTCTGATGTTGAGTTGTTTACCCAACATTAATTCTTACACTTACCATCTAAAAATGAAAGATATCTATTGATGGTTTCTGTGAAAATATGCTTCTCAGATTCGCCCTGCTTGGACTGGTTTAAAGCGCCCCAGTTGTTGGTTGCAAGAATAGCCGGTAGAAATATGTGTTGCAGCATATTCCTGATCCCTTCCAGGAGGCCTTTTGATGCATCCAAGACGGTAAATAGAACATCCTGAAAGGGGGTATTCAATGGTTACATGTTTAATCCACCAAGGAGCTGAGGAAAAACTCATACGTCACTTTTCACCTGCCGTGAACACTTGACACATTTGGTAAAGTACAGGGGAAAGAGCTAAGCGCTTATGGACCTTAGAACTCAAAAACCAACACTCTTTCATCAGACCTGCCAGGTCTCCCTGGACATGTTTTCCTCTGTACTGTATTTTTTTAAAGAATTTATTTCATGTACATTGGTGTTTTACATCCATGGATATATGTGTGAGGGTGTCGTGTCTTCTGGAACTGGGGTTACAGACAGTTGTGAGCTGCCCCATGTGGGTGCTGGGAATTGAACCCAGGTCCTCTGGAAGAGCAGCCAGTGCTCCTAACCGCTGAGCCATCTCTCCAACCCCTTCCTCTGTACTTTACCAAGAGGAGGGACTGTGCCCTGCAACCTAGCCAAGGCATGGGAAAGACAACCAAGCCTGTCACATAAGAACATCCTCAAGTATAAGGTGCCCTGTTCATGAAAACAGTCTATCTCTAAAAGAGATTTTAAACATTTTTATACTGTTTTAACATATGTACATAGGTTTGCGCCCATGAATGCAGCAACTGCAAAGGCCAGAGAAGAAGGTATCACATCCCTGCATCTGGAGTTAAAGGTGATTATGAGTCACCCGATGTGGGTGCTGAGAATTGAACTCAGGTCCTCTCTGAGAGTGGTATCTTCTGAGCCAACTCTCCAGCCTCATCTAACAGACTCAAGTGCTCCTTCTGGGGAGTGGGGTGCAGGTCAGCCTTGCATCACAAGGCTCAAAGAACCTATACCTCTTTAAACTATGTGCACATACAGCTGCACCTCCCTCAAAAACCTGAAGTATAAGCAGCCAATGGCCACAGACAATAGTAGTCCCAGGTACGCAGGAGACTGAGGCAGGTCGCGGGAGCCCAGGAGAAAGGCCAGTCTGAGTAACATCGTGGGACCCTTCTTTCAAAAACAACAAAGGCTGGAGGTGTAACTGAGTAGAACACTTGGCTAGCAGATCCTCAGAACAAAAAGAAAGGAAGACAAGGGAGGGAAAAGGAGGGTTAGGAGGAGAGGGCAGGGGGAAGAGAGAAGGTGGCAGGAGGAAAGGCAAGGAAGGGGAGGAGAGGGGAGAAGGTGGAAGGGAACGGGGAGAGGAAGGGGAAAGGAAGAGGAAAGGGAAGAACACACTGCGTCATAGATAAACTAAGGAGAGCAGAGCATTACTGGAATTGATGACACAGAGATGGCCTGGTAAGACAAGAGCTTAGAAAGGGAAAAGCAAGCCGCGAGGGAAAAGGCAGATTCTTCATGAAGGGCACTAGCTGACAGCGGAGGTCTCACCCACGGGAGACACAGGGAAGCACCTACAAGGGCCCAGGGGGGACAAGTGTCCTCCTCAACCACCTCTCGCCAGGCTGTCTTTGATCCCAAACAGGAAAGAAGCCTGTTGTGATTTACACTGGGTTTGCAACACGGCCCTCTCCACAAGGCAGCAAGTCGCCCTAAGAACGTGAGAGAGAAAGGATGGACGCCTTTTGAGAATCAGGATGGGAGCGGGTTTTGAGGATCTACAGCCAATCAGGATGGGAGCCTTTTGAGGCTCTACAGCCAATCAGGATGGGTGCTTTTTGAGGACCTACAGCCAATCAGGCGGCACAGCAACAGTCTATCTTTCAGAGGTCTCAGGACAAGCCAGCAAAGAGGGTGTTGCTGTTCCCCGTTTAGGCACCACCGGTGTCTCCAAAAGGATGAGCCATTAGCCAAAGGAAACAACCTGGAGGCAAATTCTCATCTCCATAACTCTACTTGCTGTTTCCATCCAGCAGTCCAGCCCCTGACTAGGCTAGCCAACGGCTAGACCGGAAGTCAGTTCCCTCTTCTAAAATGACTGAAAATTTAAAAGGCTGAGCAAAGAGTGGGTGTCGTAACTAGTGCTTAAGACTGTATGGACAGGTGTGAATGTGTCCCTGAAGAGTGGGCACATGGTAATTCTGTGCACACCACACAGAAGACGCAAGTTTTCATAGACTTCAGGGCTGGTGGCTGTGCTGGTTCATTTTCGTCAAGTCGACATAAGCCAGAGTTGAGGCACTACCTCAGGCAGACTGGGCAGTGGGCATGAGAGTCCCAATCCACTGGGACACCCCTAGGCAAATGGTCCGACTATATGAAAGCAGGCTGAGCCAGCCGTGGGGGAGCAAGTCAATAGGCAGCGCTCCTCCGTGGTCTCTGCTTCAGGTCCTGCCTCAACTCCTCCGGTGCTGTGCTGGGATTTGGAAGAGGAAGGGAAATAAATCCTTTCTTCCCCAAACTGCTTTGGGCCAGTATTTTATTTGCAGCAACAGGTAGCAAGTTAGAACAGTAGTGCATGCCTCCAAATCCAGCCCTTGAGAAGTGAGTGGAGGTGGAAGGGGAGGGCTAGGGGTTCAAGGACACTGAATATATATATATACATATACATATATACACATATATACATATATACACATATACACACACATATATACACACACATACATATACATACATACATACATACATACATACATACATACATACACATAGGCCAGCCTGGGCTGTACGAAACCCTGTCTTAAAAATATAAACTTTCAAATCTTTTCAAAACATAAACTTTTAAAGGCAGTATCTATAGTACAGCAACAACTCAGCTCTAGTAAAGCCAGTACCCTAGTTTCTTTGAGTATAAAGATACACCACTTCCTTGGAACCCAATCCAGTCTTCCACACAGAAACGGAGATAGAGGGACTGGGGAAACATGACAACTTGCCGGTGTTTCAAAGCGTACCTCATAAATGGTCTTAGAGTTGATGGCAACCTCATTACGGCAGCGAACAAAAAATATGCACAGTCCTTTCAGCTTCTCTGGAGCCGCGTTGTCCACATAGATTCTCATCATTTTTGACCCTCTGGGTACGCCAGTGATTGTTCGGCCACATTCTGAAAACAAACGCCAAGAACTGAACATACAGCCACAGAACTGAGCCGGCTTGGTAAGTGATTGTGTAATGGGCAGGCAGTCTCTCCTAATTGGTAAGTTGTAGGCCAATGCAAGGACCTGTCTCAAAGCAGGCAGACAGTATTCCCGAGGATGCCACCAGAGGTTGTCCTCTGGCCCCAGTACCCCATTCAGCACCTGAATACATACCAACACACATGGACACACACACACACACACGCTATTTTTTTAAAAGCAGCCTGAGAGGGAAAGGACGACCCAAGTACCTAGTTATTGAAACAAAGGCATAGCAACCTGGTTGCATGCTAATTACTTTAGGAGTGATATAGGAAAGCCAGATGTGCATTTAATAGCTGCAACAGCCAGAAGACATTGAGCCAGAGCCACAAGGGGCAGCTGTTGGGCTCCAAAGAGGCATCGTGACTACTTCAAGTCATCTGAAAACATATGGACAAAATGGTCCACCTGTTCCAGGAAACTGCAATTAAATTCTAATGGAAAAGTGTATTTCCCAGTAGAGGTTGGAATGTCTCTGGTATCTCTCCCCAAATCCTGACAGCAAGGTCTCAAATGATTGCTTCTGAAAATGGAATTTTTTAATTACGTTTATGTTTTGCTGGCATACATATGTGTTGGAGCATGCATGTGGAAGTCAGAAGACAACCCTGTAGGACTGCTTCTCCCTTCGACCATGTGGGTCCTAGATTGAAGTGCAGTCACCAGGCTTAGTGGCTGGTGCCTTTACCTGATGAGCCATCTTGATGGCCCTGGAGTAGTCTTAAGATAATGTTTTTAAAGATTTCTTTTACTTCACTGTGTTTTTGCATGCATGTACCACATGCATGCAATGCCACTGGAAGCCAGAAGAGGGAATCAAATCCCCTGGAACTGGAGTTACAGATGGTTGGGAGCCACCATGTAGGTGCTGGGAAATGAACCCAGGTCCCCTTGAAAGAGCTGCAAGTGCTTTTAATAGCTGAGACACATCTCCAACCCTTCAAACACTTTTTTTTAAATGGGCTTCTGGTCAAGTTTTTGCTGTAAAAGTGGAAATCTTCTAAGCTTAAGAGGAAAAATTAGGCCACACTTTAACATTAGCCAGCTCACTTGGAGCCCAGGGCCCTCAGAAAACATCCTTACCAAGACCTGGAGCCTCTCCTTCCTGATATAAAAACTTCAGCGTCTTACATCCGCCTTTCTCAAAAAAACGGCTGAATGGATCCAGCTGTTAAATGAAAGAAAAAAAAAATGAGGATCAACAAAATGATACTGGCCTTCCAGGGAAATAACTCAAGTAGTGCTGCTTCAAGTACCTTAGTTCATCCCTGCCCCTTCTCAGACTGAGAAAATAAGAAAAGACCTTCCTGAAAGGCCTGGTGGCATAGGTTTGTGATCCCCGAGACTCGGGAAGCTGAGGCAGAAGGATCACAGGTTCAAGGTCTGCCTGGGATACTGAGGGAGTTCATGGCCAGCCCAGGTAACTTAGAGAGAGCCTCTCTTCAAAATAAAAAGTAAAAAGGAAAGCTGGTGGGGGCAGGGTGGGAATAGATAGATCAGAAAGCAGGAACGTGTGAAAAAAGGCAGACACTCCACTAACTTAACTCCACTAGAGACGGCAGGGAGGACAGGTAAATTTCATTGCGTGGAGTCCTAGTTGGCTTTCCATTGCTGTTGAGAAATACCATGACCAAAAGCAATTTGGGGAGATTAAAATAAATCGTTTCATCTTACAAGTTACAGCCCGTCATCAAGGGAAGCAAGGCAGGAACATGGAGGAAGGACCTGAAGAAGAGATTGCTTGCTGGCTTGCTTCCCCTGGTTTGTTCCGCTGCCTTTCTTGTTCAGTCCTGGCCCACCTGCCCAGGGATGGCACTGCCCACAGTGGACTGGCCCTCGGACACTATCAAGCCGTCGAGAAAAGTCCCATCCCCAGATGTGCTCACAGGCCAATCGGATTGAGGCTATTCCTCAACAGAGATTTCTCTTCCCAGGTATGTCTAGGTTTGTATCAAGTCGACAAAGCCCAAACAGCACACTTGGACTGTTGGTTGACTGGTTGGCTGGGAAGATGACTGCGGAATGTATGCACATGCACATGGGAAGGTGTGTGTGTGTGTGTGTGTGTGTGTGTGTGTGTGTGTGTGTGTAGACCAAAGGTAAACCTAGAGTATCATTCCTCTGGATCTACCTCATTTTTGTTTTTGTTTTTGCTTGAGACAGGCTGACCTGGATCTCGCTACATAAGGCTCCCCTGGCTGTCCAGTCTGCTACAGAGATCTGCCTGTCTCCGTTCCGCTATGCCTGGCATTTTACACGGGTTCTCAAGAGTAAACACAGGTATTTTTACTAGCAGAGCCAGTGTTTTACTGAACCAACTGAGCCATCTCTCCAGCCACCACCAACCTGCTTCCTAAAGAGGTAATATCTCACAGTTGGGTATGGTGACACATACCTATAATCATTCTCTGGAGGCTGAAGCCAGGCGGGGCTATGTATGGGGTTCTTGGCCAGTATGGAGTATGTAGGAAAGCCTGAGACTTGAGAAAGTGAGAGACATGAGGAAGGAAGAGAGAAAGGAAAGGAAGGAGGAAGTCAGGGACGGACAGTCTTTCAATACTGCCCAGGCTGGCCCCTAACTCCGGGATTTAAATGATCCCACTGAGATGGGTTGGTTCTACGCTAATGATCTACACATAAAGCTTTTCCTAGCTACTTACTTGGCCCAGCCTTAAAGAATGTCGTAAGAGAGGTTAAGCCCATGTGGAGGTAAACACAAGGAACTATTAAGAAAGCCAAGTTGGAAGAAAAAAAAAAAAAAAAAAGAAAGCCAAGTTGGGGCTGGGAGCTGGAGAGTTAGCTCAGCAGTTAAGAGCACTGGCTGCTCTTCCAGAGGTCCTGAGTTCAGTTCCCAGCACCTACATGGTGGCTCACAACCATCTATAATGAGATCTGGTGCCCTCTTCTGGCCTGCAGGCATACATGCAGACAGAATACTGTATACATAATAAATAAATCTAAGAAAAGAACAGAGAACCCTCTACTAATGGTTTTGCTTGAGAAATTATTTAAGTAAGCAATAGTCCTTTCAGCAAGTATAACTCGACCCATATTGTAACCAAACTAATATTTAAAAAAAAAGTATCATCATGAGACTCTTCCACACTTATGAACATGAAGCTTGTATTCAACTTCTGAAGGGTCAGTGTGATCTCTCAGAAAGCAGAAGGTGAAAGAGGCCACACAGGCAGACGTGGGTCGACACCCCAAGTGAAATAACAAGCTAGCACGCTTGCCTCTCCCTTCCTCTGCTTCCATATGGAAGTCTCTCTTGGAGGAGAGTTTTTCTCTCCGCTTACAGCTCAGAAGATGGGGTACCACAAAGCCGGACTCCCCAGGGCCGTGGCTTTCAAACTTTGTGTAGATGGGGCAGTCACATGAAGAGGTACATGTGTGTACGTGCACCTGTGTGTGTAGGCGTCAATGCACACGTGTGTGTGTGGGGGGGGGGAGGTGTTTATGGAGGCCAGAGGGGAAGCTCGGAGGTTCCTCAGGTGCTGTCCACCTATTTTGTTTAAGAAGGGGTTTCTTGCTGTTCTGAAAGTCACCAGGTGGGCTGGGCCAGTCGGCCAATGAGACCCAGGTCTCTGCTTCCCTAGCTGAGATTACAAGGACGTGCCATTGAGCCAGGCTGCTTGGTAGGGTAGGTTGGTTGTGTGGTAGTGGTGGTCATCTTGTTTTTGTTTTTTTAACATGGGTTCTGGGGGTCAACCTGAGGTCCTCTTACACGTTAATATCACGCTAGCGTGATAGCAGAGAGAGAGCAGGAAGTACCTGCTCTGGCTTGATGCTCCCTTCAACATCCGTGTTCCTATTTCCTGGGTCCTAAGCAAAGTGTGACTTCATCCGTGGAGGCCTTGAAGGTAGTACTACCCATACAACCCCAAACGGTGAGATATATTCCGGGAAAGCCAGTGGAAGGTGAGGCGCCTTGAATGAGACCTGGCTACAGCCTGAGGACTTGGAACATTTGGTCCCCAGGTGATGGTGCTCTCTGGGGAGGTTATGGAACCTTTCGGAGGTGCAGCCTTGCTGAAGGAAGTACGTCAGTGGGGAGCAGGTCAGGGGCTTTATAGCTTGACCCTACTTCCTGTTCTGTTTGCTTCCAGTATATGGAGAAAAACATGACCAGCCAGCTTCCTGTTCCTGTCACCTCCCTGCTTGCCACCATTATGGACTCTGTCCCTCTTGGAGCAGCAAAACCAAAACAAATCTTTTCTTCTCTAAGTTGCTTTTGGTCTTGGCATTTTAACATGGCAACAGAAAAGTAGTAACACAGAGGGTTTGCACGCACAAGCTTCCTCCTCCACTCCCGCGCTAGCATGATAGCCAATGGGAAAGTCTTCTGGCAACAGGGCCCGCAAGCCCAAAAATCCAGCCGGTGATCATGAAGGCAGGCTCTCCGACCCTGCTGTCCCGTCCCACTCACTCACATCACCCCTTTGTCCCTGAATGCCACACGCAGGCCCCAAGAGCTGTGGCTGCACCTCCTGCAGAGACGCGAGGATTCCAGTACAGAGGGAGCCAAAATGGCCTAGCAATTTTCAGGCGGGAAAACAAGGTGGCTCGCCCATCTGGTTTCCTCCGTAAACAAGTTCAGGAACCGTGGCTGGGACATGAGACCAACAGAGCAATCCTGTTTCTGAAAATCACACCCTGTTTCCATCCAGTTGTTCATGATGGCGCCTCTTGTTTAATGCACACATCCCCTGCACGGAGAGTGATGGGGGAACACACCCAAGCTCCTGCACACCCCCACACAAGTACACAGCCCCAAATAAAGGGGAAAACAAAAACAAATGATGGCAAGACTTCAGCTTACCGATGGGCAATCCAAAATTAGTTCTTCCACGGTTACCATGTCCAGCCCAAGCCTCTCTGCTAGAATTTCAAATATGTATTTGTATGAGGGATCAATTCTCATTTTCCGGGTTTCCCTTGCTTCTCTGAATCTTGCCTAAAAGAAGTGAAAACATGTATAAAAATGTTAAGTATGAAGAAAATGTAGCGCTCAGTAGGCAAAGCCAGGTGGATGTCTATGAGTTCGAGGCTAGCCTGTTCTACAAACAGCCAGGGCTGTTACACAGAGAAACCCTGTCTTGAAAAACCAAAGAAAGAAAGAAAAATGTATTTTCAAACCATGGAAAATCTCAGAGCTTTCCCACCACAAGCCCTATCAGCAGCAAACCTGTCTCTCTTTGAGGGTCTCCTGGAGGTTTGGAATGCCACTCATACTTCGGCGGTACTTGGAGGAGCGCCGGGAAGACTGAGAAAGAGAAAGCCCATCCGACAGCACTGACTGCACAGGCCTCGGGGCGAGCCTCGGTCGGACCCTGCTCTGGCTGGACCCTGCATCGTCGGTCGTTAGCTCCTCGTCTGAAGGAATCAGACTCCTGTAGTCAGTCACTGAAGGACCTGCGTCCTGTACAGAGATGGGCGTGGCGTCTGTGTCCGGGGTGGGCGGGGCCTCTCCTTCAGGAGCCGGCTGCGAGTCCTCTTCCAGAGGGGGTGGGGCCACACCCTCCTCGGAGGGCGGGGCCTGCTCCTCGGGAGGAGGCGGGGCAGTGTCGTCCTCAGAGGGAGGAGGCGGAGCTTCCGTCGGAGGAGTTGGAGGAGGAGGAGAAGGAGGAGGAGCCTCTTCGCTCTCAGGAGGTGGTGCTTCGCCACCTTCAGCCTCCATCTTTCAATGTGGAGATCTTCAACGTTAAAACCTAGAATTACAAAGTATTTTCACTGAGATTTGTGCAGATAACTTGACCATTAGGTGTTTTGATTTCTCCCAGTGATGGCTAATCTTGGTTGTCAATTTGATACCCTTTGGGTGGGAAGATGGAACCTCAACTGAGGAATTGCCCACATCAGATCGGCCTGTAGGCCTGTCTGTAGAACATTTTCCTGGTTGTTAATTGATAGTGGAGGGCCCCTGCCCACCGTAGGTGCTACCATCCCTAGGCTGGCGGGCCTGGGCTGGAAGCCTGGGTCGATAGTTCACCAGAAGGTTGGGAGCAAGCAGGAGAGCAAGTCGGTAAGCAGCTTTGGCTTAGGGTCCTCACCAGGCTTTTGCTTGAATTCCTACCCTGACTTCCCTCAGTGGTGAACTGTGACCTGAAAACATAAAATAAACCCTTTCTTCTCCAAGTTCCTTTTGATCATGGTGCTTATCAAACAGAGAGTAAACTTAGACACCTCCCTTAAAGCTTGACAGATAACAACAACAACAACAACAAAATCATCCACTTCTTTACCACGAACAAGCTAAGGTTACAGGCCTAGGGAGGGGATTGTTTTTAGTGACAGCTAAGGTCACTGTTTTTTCAAGGTTAAGTGCTCACTTGATTTTGCTATGGTGTTAGGAAGCTGACATCTTTGGGATAGTATAAAAGAATGCCGTTATGAATTCTGTTGCTTTGTATAATGATTTTTAAAATAACCAAGTAAAATAAATAAATTATAAGCCAGGGATGGTGGCACAAGACTGTAATCCCACCACCTGGGAGGTAGAGGCAGGTGGGTTAAGAGTTCAGGATTACCCTTAGCTACATAGTGAGTATGACACCAGCCTGAACTATATGAGACCCCATCATAAATATAAATATATCAGTAGGGACTGGGGGTGTGGCTCAGTGGTTACAGAGCTTTCTTTGAATAACAGAAAAGCTTGAGTTTGGGTCCCCAGGACGTTACTGTCAGGGGACTGAATCTCTGGCTCAACTGAATCTCTGGCTCAGCGGTTGTCTGTGCATACAGCTCCTGCCCAGGACCTAAGTTCAGCTCCCACCATTCACACAGAGTGGTTTACAACCGCCTGTCATTCAGGGAATTCAGTGCTCTCTCCGGGCCTCCTTCAGCTCCCGCACTCACAAGCTCGTCCACACAGACACATAATTAAACACAAAAATAATTTAAAATAAAATAACCAGGGGCTGGAGAGATGATTGGCGTTTAAAAGCACTGGCTGCTCTCCCATAGGATAAGGGTTCAATGCCTAGCACCCTTATGTGGTGACACACACTGCCTGCAGTTCAAGTCTCAGGGGATCTGAGAGACTTCTAACCTCCTCAGCACCAGACATGTGCACAGTGCACAGACATACATGCAGGCAAAACATTCACACGCAGAAATAAAACACAATCTTACACCAAACAAAAGTTGCTATGACTGTTAAGGCATTTGGTCTAGTATGATGGCGCACATCTATAATCCCAGCATTCAACAGGCTGAGGCAGTAAGATGGTAAATTCAAAGCCAGACTGGGCTTCATAGACTCTATTTCAGGAGTCCCAAAAGAAAAGCAAGACAGCACAAGCAAGAACCCGGGCACCAGGAATGGTGACCGACACTTTAGTCCTGGCACTCGGGCCACAGAGGCAGGCGGATGTATCTCTCTGAGTTCCAGGCCAGCCTGATCTATATAACAAGTTTTAGGACAGTCAGGGCTCTAGAGAGAGAGACCCTGTTCACAAACCGAACAAATGAAAAAGAGCTCTCAGGCTGTGGATGTAGCCGTAGGCCATTTCCCTCGCAGGCATGAGACCCTCGGATCAACCCCCAATCCCACAAGAGAAGAAGAGGGGAGAAGAGGAAGATTGTCGTTCTCCAGGCCAGGCACAGTGACACACACTCCTAATCCCAGCACTCACAAGGCTGAGGCAAAGGGGTTGCTACAAGTTGGAGACCAGCTTGCTCCACATAGTGTATCTCAGGGCTAGATAGCGAAATTTTGTCAGAGAGAGAGCAAAAGAGGAAAGAGGAGAAAGAGAAAGATAAGAGAGAAAGGACTATTATTCTCAAATTAGCTGGTTTCTTTTAATTAGCCACTATTATTTACACTCAAACTGAATCATCATACTACATTAAGAAATCAGTATGCAATAAATCTCAATGAATTTTCCATCTCAAAATGGATCCTGGTTTTTTAAGTAGAAGCACACAATAAAGTCTCAGAATACATTATTACCCAACACAGTTTATTCCCTGGCAATTTTAGATAATTGAATTGAGATCTGTGTGCTTTCAGAGCTGGGCAAAGGGAGACTTGCAAGCACGCTGGTCTCAGCCTCCTGTTTTAGCGACAATGAACGTTCAGAGCTGTCTTGGGTCTTCCTAATTACTTAGAGAGACCGTAGTGATCTTTCTTTTTGAATTAATTAATTTTACTCTGGATTTTTTTTTCTGGCCTTTTCAAGACAGGGTTTCTCTGTGCAGCCCTGGCTGTCCTGGAACAAGCTCTGTAGACCAGGCTGGCCTCGAACTCAGAGATCTGACTGCCTCTGCCTGAGTGTTGGGATTAAAGATGTGAGCCACCACCATCCAACTTTATTTTGTTATTTTTATGTATGTGAGTGTTTTGCCCTGATTACATGCTTGTTCATCACCGTGTGAGTCCCTGGTGCCTGCATATATCAGATGAGGGCTTCAGAACCCCAGGACTGGAGTTGCAGGTGGCTGTGAGCAGTCACATGAGTTCTGGGAATCAAATCCCAGTCCTCTTCAAGAGGAGTCCATGTGCTTAACCACTACGTCTACTCTCCAGCCCATGTAGGGATCTTTCTAAACTTAGATCAATCATTCTACTTTCCTACTTAAAATTCTTTTCTGGGAGTGTGGGAGAGATGGGTCCATGGCTACAGGGACTTATTGGGCTTAGAGAACCGAAGTTTAGCTCTCAAATACCCACAGGGCAGCTCACAGTCACTTACAACTCTAGTCCCAGGGGATCCAAAACTGCCTTCTAGAGTCCACTAGCACCTCCTATAGACTCTCTCACACACACACATAAATAAACACACATACTAAACAGATAAGTATTTTTAAACTGTCTCGAAACTTTTAGTAAGTTGTATAACTGAAAAGGAAAAAGCAATCTCAGCAAATAGAAATTAATTTACTATCCATATGCATTATATATTTGTGTTTATATATATACATATATGAACAAAAACAAGGAAGAAGAAAAATACCTTGGAAAAAACTACAATTTTCCTTAGTAAAGGATTTGTTACATAATTATGCTCTCTTTCTCCACTCAGTAAAATTTTAATACTGACATCAATGACAAGGGGAATGAGACAAAGATACATAAAGGTATGGAAAGGTCTTTAGACACATTGCTGTGGGCCGAAGAAATGGCTTAGAGGTCAAGAACACTCCCGATTGTACAGAGGACCCAAGTACAATTCTGAGGACCTGTATCAGGTGGCTCACAACTGCCTGCAGCTCCAGTTCCAAATCCAAAGAAGCCCTGATGCCTCTGGGCTCCATGGGCACCTATACTCAGGTGCACATAGCCACCCGGACACAGCTATGAGTACAGTAAACCTTAAAAACAAAAGATACATTGCTACATTTTTTTTAATTTTATTTATTTATTTATTTATTTATTTATTTATTTTGGTTTTTTGAGACAGGGTTTCTCTGTGGCTTTGGAGCCTGTCCTGGAACTAGCTCTTGTAGACCATGCTGGTCTCGAACTCACATAGATCCGCTTGCCTCTGCCTTCCTAGTGATGGGACTAAAGGCATGTGCCACACCGCCTGGCTCATTGCTACATTTTTTAAAAGAACCTGGTGAACATCTGTAATCCCAGTAATTGGAAAACAGAGGCAGGAAGGCTGTGGATTGAAACTTGGACCACACGGGGAAATCCTGTCCCAAGCAAACAAATAAGTAAATATAAACAAATAAACAAACATGAAAACCAAGCTATAGCACATTGCACAATGATACAACTGTACAAAAACCTTAAAAGTATTCATATGTGGGTGCAGCATTTTACCGATTCTAAGAGGAATGCTTTAAGAAGAGTTAATTAACCTAGGCATGTTATTTGTAACTAAATCTCAGCCATTCAGTTTTACCAAGAAAGACTCAAGAGCCAGATGCTGCGGTGAAAGCCAGCTAGCTCAGAGAGACAGAGAAAGCACCAAGCTGACCTTCCCTCTCTGTTCACATCCCTGAAAAAAAGCTCCCTCTCTCTTCAACCATCTAAAAAACAAACAAACAAACAAACAAACAAACAAACAAAAACCCCTCAAACCGAATGTCCCTCCCTTCTACTTCCTGTGCATCTCTCTATCCATCACCCTGACTCCCTCTTGGTCTCTATTTCTTTTTTTCTTGTTCCCTTCTGGTCAACTAGTTGCTTGCTCTGCCTCTTGACCTGTGGCTGACTTTATTTAATCCTGTTTACAATAAACAGAAAACTCTTGGATTAAAGGTGTGTGCTAGGGTTGAGCCACAGCACAACTAGAAACAGGTTTTTCCAGTAAATAACACAATCTCAGGCTTCACAGTGTGATCACATATCCTGAAACACAGATATTAAGTAGCTCAAACTTGTAATCTCAGCATTCAGGGGGCTAAAAGATGAGTATTGTCACAAGTATGAGGCCAGCCTGGCCTGCATAGTGAATGTATGAATGAGACCCTGTCTTATAAACAAGTAAGTAAATAAATAAATAAAATAAGAAATGCATTATTAAGCAATAGGAAGTAGCAAGGCTCCACAATTTGGAGGCGCTAGCTGCACAGTCGTGTGTTGCATGCATAGTTAGCTACATCCCACTGCCTCTTCTGGTTCCCATTCCTATAGCCCCAACTCTGAATGCACTACTTCTTTCCTGATTTTTGTGAGTTCTCTGCGTGTCGGGTTGCTGCAGCTACTGTACAAAGTGAAGAAACAACTGCCCAAAGGTTTGGCTGAGAGGGAAGG